TCATTGACGTTTCATAAAATTTATCTTCGATCGAATTGAGGAGAAAATTAGAAAAATTCGCTAAAGTCGCAAATATTTTATTGAGAAGTCCTGATGATCTTCGATAAATGCAAAATGTCTGAGTAATTTTAAAATGGGACATCTGTATTGCTTTTATTATAATTATATGAGAAAATGTCCAAGAAAGGAATTATTTGATTCGATGGACATATATTATGATATGTATTTGTTTTTATCAAAGGCATTATTTTCGAGATATTAAAATGTGGATATATCTTTTCAAATGGGAGTCCATTTTTAATAAAAAAAATGGTCAGGATGAATTAAATAAATGATTTATAATACTATGGGTTTCACATAATAATCAGTAAAAAAAAAATTAGAATATTTGGGAAATTTATTCAAATAATGAAATATTATATATTTATCTATTATTCAAGAATAAAATAATGAAATAGTAAAAAGATTAATGAAGGAAAAGTTATTCTACAAATTGCTCAATATAAATTCGTCATTTTAACTTAGCAACGTGTGAAATGAAATCAAGATTGAGGTGATACATATACAGGAATGGGTCATACATAACTGGAATAGGCTGAATCAAAACCGAGTAATGGTTGAAAATAAAAAAAAACTTATAAGTCAAAGTTGAATAGTATCGGACAGTACATAATACGCAAATGATTTTATACATTTTTGTACATCGGTATATCAGAATAATGTAACTGGATGTTTTTTTTTAAAGTCGTTCATTAACACTTGACGATAGACCTAAATAATTAAGAAAAATCTAGCCACGATAACTTATAAATTTATATCGTAATGTCATCATCATTATATAAATATATATTCTATAATATATATGTATATATCGATTTTAATCCGATTAAAGGAATGGACTATATAATTGAACAGATAGAAAAAAAATAATAATAGAAGCAAGCAGCTGAGCTAGACATTTCAGGTAAAAGTAGATCTATATGCACTTACAATCATTCAGACTGTATTATAGAATAAAACAATTAACATATAATATATGTTAAATAGTGTATCAAGAAGCAATTAAAAAATACTGTATCATATGAATATATTCCAAAAATTAATTTCATAGAAATTGCAACAGATATTATAATTAAATCAATCACGAATTTATCATTATGATTGATTGATAAAAGTGACTTTAAAATTTTAATTGAATACGATCACAAAAAATTAGATGAGAATTGTTATACAATGAGAATATAAAAATCATGCTCTTTATCTTACTTTTATGTTTCTTTCTATTTTATTTTTCCGAAGGATTATTTTATTTTTCTGATAAATGGATAGCAAAAAAGTCGATCATACTTCGTGATAAATTCTATTTAATCGTGGAAGATGGCGGGGATGGAGAAGCACCGTGACTGTTTGTCTACACGGGTAGTTTTATTAATTGTTAATAAATTTATATCGAGGTACGCTCTTTTGCGGAATGTTTTATCGTAGGATTCAAGTTACTTAAATATTTTCGATGCCGCGATCGTACGTTGTTTCTGAGTTACAAGAATTTGTTGAACAATCGACAAATATATAATAAAGTAAATGTATATTTTTTCCTTTAGTATATTTTATTTTCATGTTGTATATAATTTATAGTAAAATAAATATTGAGGGTATATTTTTAAATTTGATTATAAGACAATCTGTTGAAATTGTACTTTTTTTTTATAGAATAAATAATTTGAGACTATGTAGAGTATTAAAATAAAACTGATCGTTGACTAATAACGAGTTTAAAAAGGGGTTCAACATAATTGTTTCAATTTTACAAAAGTTTGATTGAAACATAAAAACGTCGTAATAAATGATCTAGATCATATCTATGTATCAATTTTTTTCTTTTCTTTTTCTTTTTCTTTTTCTTTTTTTTCTCAAAGAAAATCAATTGACTGTAAGTGGACAAGAAAAAAAATCTTCATAGAACATTTCGTAATAAAGAGAGATATCCCATCGAAGTTTTAATAATCTGTAAAGCAAATTACAAGGAATATATTGAATTGTCAATTCATATACATGTTAGATTTGTAAAAAGAAGAAATAGAAAAGAAGAAAAAAAGAAAGAAAGAGAAACTTACGTCGGTGAAAGTTGCCAATGATAGAACGAAGAATTTACCCGAAGTCAGCTGTTGCGGTTTCCTCATACGTAGCATGCAAATATACATCATTTTCAGATTGATCGGTGAAACATTATACCACTCGTAACGATAAAATGCGTGGCTCAGACCCATACTCTAAATTTGTAAAACAATTTGTAAAACAAATGGCGAGTATCGAGTGATCGATCTAATACAGTGTCTTATCGAATTTGATCAAAATATATTTTTCAAATATTATAAGTACCTATAAATCATTAATTTTTTTTAATAAATAAATAAATTCCTAATTCGACTTAAGACATTGACATACGAGGACGTTGTCGTATTTTATAAACCAGATTGTAAATTTATTGCTTTGAACAGAAAAGAAAAATTTCTATTATTCCAAAACAAAATGGTGAACTATCCATCTTCAAAGGAATACATACGACATTACACGTTGTTTCATTTTCGATCGGGATTTAACGCAAGTATCTCAACAACAAGAAATTTGTTACGTTTATATCGACTGTTATCTACCGTAACTGGTTGAATTGAAACTTTACACACATATCGAAAGTGAATTTGTCCTTAGATAAAATTATAATAATATATTAAAACCTATAATGAAACTATAAATTAAAACTATAATAATACGGTCTAGATAAATTAGAATTATCCACCTCTTTATTTAAGTTGAAAATTAAAAAAAAAAATAAGTCAAACCTCAAGTTTCAAAATAATTGATTTCAATCAAAGTGTTCCAACTTGCTTAGTTACAGTCCGAGACGTAGCTATACTCTTATAGATTGAAAAAATCCTTGGTTTCTATTTTTTTTTAAACAACGAGAACCATTGTAATTCGTATACTCAATTAAACCAACATTTCACATGATCTGCACATTGGCGTATAAGTCGTATATTTTTCAATAAAATAACTCATCAGAATTTGAATTGTTAGTTTAAATATTACTAAATATGTGTGCCATATCTTCATATAAGTTCAATAATTCTCAAAAAAATTAATTCCTATAGAACATCTTAAAAACGGATGTATAAAATAAATTGTTGCTTTAAGAGATCTGACAACCCTAGAAGTTTGAAAAAATCGTTTTTTTTTTTTTTACATTTTTATTAACTTTGAAGTTTTGCGAAAAATTTAGGCCATATCCAATATGAAATTTCGAAAAATTGATGGAGTTATAGGTGTTTCTAGGTAGAACGGTCGGGCAGCTGCAAGCAGTGAGTCGCTCGATTAGACCTGCACGTACTGGGCGCGCATACCTGTTCTATTGTGTCCTTTTCTATGTGTATGCAATTCTAAATTTTGTCACAGTTTTTTTTCCGATCAGTACGTTGTGAAATGTAAGGCATGCAACGGTGACATGAAGTTCATGGAATCGAGTATTCGTGGACTCGGTTTTACATTGACGACTTCATGTGACTCCTGCGAACCAATCAATGTTATTTCTAATCCTCTCATAAAGAATAAAAGGTATGGCATAAAAAATGAATTATTTTAGCATTCCGATTATTAGGAATTGATTTACGAGGAATAGAAACAATTTATGGAATTATAGATTTATTGAAAGCGAAGTATCAGTCGTTTTACGATATAGTCGTCGGACCCATTCATACTGTTACAGAGAGTGTATGCAACATTTCAATATAAAATGCTGTGAAGGAGAAACAAGAATTGACAGCAGAAATGTGAAAAGGCTCAGATTTGATTACTCCTGGAGATAGAAATTATTTAGGCAAATGAGACTTTTCTTCGCTTTACGGCTTATCGACGATTATTGGATATTACTCGGGCAAAGTGATAGATTTAACAATTAAATCTTCTGCAATGTTTGTGTATAATGGTTATAAAAGCATTCTGTCGTTGATAAACTTGATGCATCAGCAAATCAGGCATTATTGCTATGAATTGTACATAAAAGTTGACAAGCTACGTTGCGACACCGAACACAAGAAAATACGAAAGACGCTCGCCAAGCTCTCAGATCATCTCAGAAAAGATTTCAAGATGCTCATTCTGCTGCTGAAGAAATGTTTATGGGCCAGTAATCGTTGATTAGAAATGAGCAAAAAAAACACTTTATCAGTCAAATAACCGGGTACACTTTCTTTTGCATTTTCTCGAATGTACGTTTTTCGATTTAACCGGAAAGAAATCTCGGAAACTACAGGAATGATTGGCTTGAAATCTGGAAACAATACTATCAGATACATTGTCTACAATGTAATGGGTTATTCGGAAAGTAATTTCGTTTTTTTTTTTGTGAAAATGAAAGACAATTTTCGTATAATGAACAAATATTTTATTAAATTATATTTTGGCCATTTTGGTCCAATACCTTTTGCCATCTTTCGAGTAGTAGCATGATTCCACGCTCATAAAATTTTTGGTTTTTGCTGACAAAAAAATGATCGAGGTGGTTTTTGACATCCTCATTCGAAGTGAAGGTTTTACCGTCTAAAAAATTTTGAAGTGACCGGAACAAAAAATAATCCGAAGGTGCCAGATCTGGAGAATATGGTGGGTGTGGCATTGTATCCCATTCAAGCTGTAAGACTTTGGCGAGTGACCAAACTTGTATGAGGTCTCGCATTATCTTGGAGGAACACTACACCTTTTCTGTAGATTAATTCTGGCCTTTTCTATTGAAGTGCATCATTCAGTTTGTCCAGCTGATGACAGTAGACTTCCGAATTAATTGTTTTGTTATCCGTTAAAATCTCAAAAAAAAAGACGATTCCTTTAAAATCCCAAAAAACTGACAGCATCACCATTTTTTGATGGATATTGGTTTTGGAAATGCTTTGAGCCGGTTCATCTTTTTTGCTCCACGATCTCTTGCGTTTGACATTGTTATATACAACTCATTTTTCGTTCCCAGTAATGATACGCTTCAAAAATGGATCATTTTCGTGACGTTGGAGAAGCGAATCGCAGACGTCAATGCGACAACACAAATTTCTCTCGGTGAGAACATAGGGAACCCATATATCGAGCTTCGGGGTTAAACCCAGGCCTTCCAAGTGGTCATAAACAGTTGAATTTGGTAAATTCAACCTCTCACCGATCTCACGTGTTGTTATTCGCCGGTTTGCATCAACTAATGCCTTTATCGTGTCTTTATCAGCTTCAACCGGCTTTCCAGAACGTGATGCACCTTCGACATCAAAATTGCCGGATCGAAATTTTGCAAACCACTTCTGGCACTGGCGTACTGTCAACACATTTTCTCCATACACATCGGTTAATTTCTTTCTAGCTCGAACAGCTTTTCTATAGTAAAAAAGTAAAATATGACGAAAATGCTGCTGATTGCTCTCCATATTTAAAAGGGCACTAACCAAAAACTACTACGTAGAATCAATTGGACTTTTTCACACACAAGCCTTGCTATATCAGCTCTCAAAATACGTAATGATTATGCGGCTTAAGTGTGAAGTTGGATGCAAAAAAATTCAATTAAATCCTTTGTCAAGAAAATAACGAAATTACTTTCCGAACAACCCAATAGCTTATGATTTTCGCGATTTTTAATTATTTTTTTTAATATTAATCATTAATTAATATTAAAATTAATTAATTTTTTTCTGTTATCAAATTTTTGTGCAACGATAGTGTTTTGTCCCGCATTTTTCAAGACAGGAAAAAATTTGTAGGCTACTTTATACTCACAATATTCACGAATAAGAAAATAATTTTTTTCTACAAATGCGCCATTACAGAGATTTACTTCCATTCAGCGACGAGCGTTACAGCGTAGGACTCCTACGGCATCAGTTGTAGTGCCGTCATTATTTAATATTTTTCAATAATTTTTGTATGACAGATTGCTTAAGCTATAAATTACCATGTGGCCAAGAATATAAAATTCGGTTGATACTTTTGAGTTTGTAGATTTTTAAAAATAAGCCCATTTTCCGATCACTCTGGGTGGTCAGACCTCTTATTCTCAAAGGGAATATACCACCTTAACATTAAGCAAATTGTTGAACGATGTTAAATTTTTGTCAAAATTAAATTTGAATCAGTTTTAAAGTTCAAAATCGTCGGATTAATTAATCAATCATTTTGTTCGAAAATAATTATTTTTCTGTTCTTTTTTTATGATTTAACTACAATTAAATAAATAAAGATGTATTTATGAATAAATAATGTCTAAAAACTGAATCGTTAAAAGTAACAAAAAAATGTTATTGATAGTCAAGTTAAATAAGACATCTTGTATTACGTTAATTAAATCTCAATTACTTCTTGAATGAGACTCTCGCCGACGTAACAATAAATAAACAGTGTACTCAAGACGTTAAAGGCGTAAAAAAAGAATAATAATAGTGTTTGTCCTTCTTGCTTTACGGAACCCTGAAAAAAAAAGGAAAAGAAAAATATAAATATTACAGATATTCGTTACATTCGTCCATTATAGATCATATGTAATACGTACTGCAAGTGTATTGTAACCTGATATACAAAGGTGGAACGTAGTTCCCATCAATTGTTGTAATATCATTATATTAAAGTTATCTTCCAAGCATTCTGCTTGTCTAAAACATGTCGAATAAATTATTTCAAATATTTAGATAAAACAATATGATATTATAATATGAATTAAATATAAAAAAATATTCATAATTGGACTATGAATTTTTCGTTTATCAATATATTTTTTATCTACAGTATATTAAGTAAAATATTGTTTAACTTTAGTTTTCATAATCGAATTCGTTTCAAATATCTTTTATTAGATTAATATCAATATATTAGAAGGACGTTCGAGGAAATTTAAGGTAATCATGCAATTATTAAATATTTGCCATATAAAAATTGTATTTTTGGATCTTTGTCGATATAAAATTTAGTCATTTAAAATTTCAATCTTTTTGGTTATCAATTTCTCAATTATTTTTTTCAATTATTTATTCAAATGCGACCACTTTTATTCGTTGTATTATCAATAAAATTTATTGATAATAATAAATATAATGATAATAATTTATTGATAATAATAAATATAATGATAATAATTTATTGATAATAATAAATAATATATATTTAATATAAAATTTCTTATTTTGTGAGTTGAATATATTCAATTTCGAAGTAGATATAAGATTTTAAATATTTCATTAAAAAAATTCACATTGGACCGAAGTAATAATTACACTTTTTCGAAAAAGTAAAATCTTTCCTTTAATCCTCTCTAGAATCGTATATTTTTGAAGTCACATACATAGATATATACACGTACAAAAGTGTCCACATTTTAAAAATCTTACAATTATAAAATTATTTCCTAATTCGTATACAAAGCTTTCACCTTTTTTATTTTTGTATCGTAATTTTAGATATAACAGGTGTCCAAATTATAGCGTTAGACATTTTTCTCTCAAGAAACAATGGCATTTTACAGCAAAATTGTTCGGACAGAGGTTACCTTCGATTTCGAAGAGAGAAATAATATAATTTTTTTTTTTTTTATTTAATGGAATATTTCAAGATCATTTTAATATCTATTTTATCTTTCATTTTATTTTATTTTATTTTATTTTATTTTATTTTATTTTATTTTATTTTATTTTATTTCATTTTATTTTATTTTATTTTATTTTATTTTTTTTTTTTTATTTTTTTTATTTTTTTATTTTTTTTTTTGAATAGGTTATCATTACTTTTTGTAATGGTAAGATATTCTTTTTACGTAAGAAAGAAATAAGTAACCTTCTAATAAGTCTGAAATCATTTTTATAGGTAATTAATAATTTTATTAATTTCATTTCTTTTGATTTTTATTATAATATATTAATAACTATAGATGCACTATTGTAATTCGTCGAGTTTTAACTACTCCTTTTTGATTTTTGCTAAAGCAACGCACGAAACGAACACGATGTTAATGATTCAATTATATTTAAGTGTTTCTAAATATTATTAAAAAAACAAAATTTGAAAGCAACAGTTCTTCAGTATTACCGATAATATATAATTTTTATTGTCGACTAATCATAACTTTCATAAATAACCAAAAATTTAATTTAATTTATTGAATATTATTAAAAATTTTGTTATACTACTATTAAACATTTAATAAAGAAACATGTGTTCGGATAATTTATACGATTTTAATTATTTATTAAAAAAAAAATAAATAAATAAATAAACAAAATAATCGTTCGAATATAGGACTTTAAATGACATCACTGCATATAAAACGCACTGTGTCCATTTCTTAACTAATATCTTTTATTGAAAAATAAATACTTATAAAAATTATAAATACTTAAATATTACAATTAAAAATTATAATTACTTAAATATTATATTGGGTTTACCTTATCAATTTATTATGTCGAAATACCAATGTCTTGATATTAAATCGAAAATTATTACAGTCATCGAGAATTTCTCTAATCTTGCAGCTGAGAATTCCAAATTGTGCCGTAATGTGAATAGCCAGATGTGTAAATAAACAATCGAATCCAACATAACCAATTACGACAATCGGTATGATTAACATCTGATAGAGGCAGATACAAAAGTAGACCCTAGTATCATCTATATTGATAATAACTCGTGTTTTGTATGGTAGCGTGTAACCCAATGATGAGTTTCTTATTGCTATAACGAATTAAAAAAATGTATATACATATATATATATATATATATATATATATATATATAAATGTATGTGTGTGTATATACTGACTTAAGCTACATCTTTGAAAGTATTAAAGATCGAGTATTAAAATATTGAAATAATTCAGCAAGTTTGAAATTAAAATAACACGCAAAACTAATAATTTTCAGATGATAATAATAATATTATTAATATGTTTTACAGATGGTGAAAAATTGCATCGATTAATGTATTTAAAATTAGAGTTTTATTTAAAAAAAAACAAAGTACACTTGCACCGATTACAACTGCACCGATGCACAAAAATTCATGAAAGTTTCATAGAACTATACAACGTTTAATACCATTTAATTTTATGGCATGATATTTTTCTCGATCTCCAATACTTTCAAAGATATAGTTCGGCTAAATTCGATATACATCCAAGGACACCCTGTGTTTATATATATTACTATATATATTTTATTTATATATATATATATATATATATATATATATATATATATGTATAAAATGTTCCTATAAATAGTGTCGTCTAAGGCTTGTTTTTAAATGTAGTAATTTTTTTTTTTTTTTAATAAGAAACTACAATTTTGTTTTCGAAAGGGACAGGTCCTTATTATAAATTCACCCATTTTGGGTTAACTTTTTCCAAAATTTTGAATGGCAATAGAAATTATTTGAAAGAAATTTTTATTCGTTTAACAAAAAGGCTATTTTTGGAAATTTTTAATCAATTATTTCCGAGAAAATGTGTTTCGAAATTTCAGGTTGAAAAGTATATTTATTTTATTAAATATAAAAAATATATATTGTTGAACGCTATTGCAGTAATACTTTCTTAATGTTACTTATGCATATTTTTGCTGAAGTTCTTTTAAGAAAGTCGTTTAGATTTATATATTCAGGATTATAAATATCCCAATAGAAATACAAAATAAAAGGGCGTAAACGATTGGGAAAAATTTGGATTAAAAATTGCCGTATCGAAGTTGCATCAAATGAAAGAGTTTCATTTTGTTGAGAAAACATTTCTATCGATATGTTCAAATTATTTTCAATGATTTCTACGATAAATGCATAAATCTAGCTCACAAATAAATCAGAGTACGACTCTACGGTCAAATTATTTAATTAAATGTTTAATAAAATAAAAACTGTTTTTAACCTGAAACTTCGAAATGCATTGTCTCAGTGATTATTGAATCAAAAAAAAAATAAATAAATAAATAAATAAATAAAAAATCAAAAAAATTGACACCATTGTAAAGAGAATTAAAATACCTTTCAAATGTTATGCCACTTGATTTCTATTGCCATTTTAGGAATTTCATAGGAATTGCCAATTTCTTTCAAATGATTAGCTCAAAGTGGGTGAATATATGATAAGGACTTGTTCTCCTTAAACATGTAATTGACCTGTCCAAGCAGTTTTCGAAAACATCATTATATTTCTAATAATCTAATATATATCTCTGTATATTACTATACATATATATATACTAGATATTTTACTCCAAAATTAATTAAATGAAAATTCAATAATAATAAATAAACAATTCATAATGAATAATTAAATCACAATTAAACGACAATTATAAGTGATCATAAATTATTAAGAAGACAAAAAAAAAATTTTAAATATTCTTCTTCAAAATTGCTTATAAATATATAAATATTCTGAACCTATTTTGTTGCATGTAAGTATATATATATATACAACATATATATGCTTTCATTAATAAAATTATGTCTTATGAAATGAATCAAATCGATTACCAATTTTTACGTTCGGTATCATCCCGGCGATGTAATACAATCCAACGGCAATGGCCATCGATGTAAGTGCAATTAAAAAATAATATTTTGCCAATTTAGTATATTTCATAAAAATAAATTTTTTTTCCAATGTATTGTAATCATCAATGACGAAATTGTTTTCAATTTCTACGAGGAGTTGTCCTAACGATTTTCTATTCATCCTGCAGATCGTTATTTTTGTGAGTGTCATTATGAATAAAACATTTTCGGTAAAATTTACGACAGTTTCGGCGAGATCGCTTTTATGATTATAATAAATTAAATTGGCAAATGTCAAAGAACAATGGAGGAAAAGGTAAATAAAAATAATGAGAAAAAGTGGATCATAGATCTCGAGGGGCCATATTCCAAGATATTTCAGTAATTGTTTGTTCCATCGTAACGATTTCATTGCTTCGTTTAGATCGAGTATCTGTAATAATAAACAAAAAGAATATACTTATTATTATTTATGCTAAATAATCGAATGCTATTTAATAATTTTCTTTTTTCTTATAATTATACCATAATTCTTCTTCAACTTGAACAAAAAAAAATTATTTTTCATGATACCAATGATTTCATTGCTACAGTTAAATTAATTGCGGTGTAGAAATAATAATAATAAAAAAAAAAAATACATAGATTTATCAACATTTATGATAAAAAATTGAAAAATATTGGAAGAACGACAAATTTGTTTTTTTGTAACAATAGGCGAAAATGAATTTATTTAATCTAATATTAATGACCACTTCGATTAAATCGACAGTTTGAAATAATAATAAAAATTAGATCTGTTTTAAAATTTTATAATAAAATTGAAAATTAATTGAATATTATTAAAGGAACATGAATTTTTTTGCAATTATCGACTAATATCAATTATTTCATTGCTTTTGGTTAAATCGAGTATCTGTAATAATAATAATAAAAGAGGGTCTTATTAATATTAATAATAAATGTTTGAAAATCAAATAATAATCATGCAATCAAATTTTATTTTTCGGTGGAATTATAATTGAATGTTTTTCTATTCTAAAAGAACAAAATTGTTTAACGATTTTAATTAAATTAATTATTTCTTATATATAAATATACGTATAAAAATATTCTTGTATAATATATCACTAATGTACGTCACACACATATATATTTCTAAAATACATATATACATATATATGTATATATATAAATATAGATCTACGGATATGTAAGTATATACATCGTGTTTTTTAATATATATGTTCCCATTTCATCGATCAAAAATAAAGTTCGGATAAATAAACATGATCCATCTATGCAAATGTCTATCAATGATACGTTTATTTTCTGTCACACTCTATATTATTTACCAACGAAGTTGGATTCCAGACCAGAAATGGAATTGTCAATTCTCATAATATTCATTAGGAGACACCATAATTGATTACTTACAAGGAATAGGGTTAATCTAATTGTTAATTATTTTGTTATGAAACTATTGCAGAAAATTTTAACATAGACTCAAATTATTTTTAGTATTTTATTTATAAGTTTTCGATATTTGTCTCTGATTTACCAAAATTTGTTGAAAAATTAGTCAACGTAAATAAATATCTATTCTTTTTTTTTTGTTTAATCATGTCCGCAGTGACGAACGAAAGTTTGTTTGTTATTCTTTTGGTAGATAAGTATATAATGTATAATAGATATTAAATAACCAACGGTTCGTAATTGTTCTTAGAATTTATACATACACTCACACTGTATCTACGAATGGTCTAAAGTAATTAAAAATAAAAGCACTTAAGATGATGAGGATGAAACTAACGATGTTGTATTAGCTGCGGATATTACTTCATATGAGATTCTTTTCCTTTTATTTTCTTTTTTTTTTTTTTTTTTTTTTTTTTTTTATTAGATTAACAGATTAAACTTGCGTACATTTCCTTAGATAACAGTTGACAGTAACAAAACATGATACGAATAAAGTAATTATTATTCAAATTGTCATGTCATTTCATATTTTCTATTATTATATACTTCTGCTATTTTATTTTTATTCTTCAAATCATTTCAATTCGAAAACATGATGGTTGGTTAAATGCGACACACGTGTTTATAAATTTTCTTCATTATTTTAATATATCTCGCCCATCAATAAAGTAGATCCCACATGTTATGAAACACCTTGTATAATACATATAATGTATATAATAATAAATAAATAAATTTCCTGAAAGTAATATTTGAAATTGTTTTTATAATTATAATAATTTTATTAGAATAATTAATTATTGTGCCTGGTGAATAAATAAATTATACTTTTATCACTCTTGCCCCATTAATGCCAATCCATTACTCTTATCAATTCGTTATATGATTAAAACTTATTCGCAAAAAAGTGCACAAAATTGTACAAAATAATAATTCACAGTTTTGTTTATGCATGTGAAAATTTTAATTTTTGTAAAATATATTTATTAAGTTTCGAATTAGTAATGATGATATGCAATAATAATTTAAAATAATAATTTAGAAAAAAAAATTAATTTTGTTAACTTACGAATCAGCAAGGACGAATAAACCAACCATTATAATATTTAAAATAATAAATAATTTATCTATAGATTATGAAAGCACAAATATAAATAATTATTATTTATAATTTCATATATTATATTCATAAAAATTGTTATTAAAATTATATTAATTATTTCACGACAGATATTTTTACTATTTATTTGCTTTATTAAAAAAAGAAAAATATATTTATTCATTATCCACCATTTAATAAATATAATAATTAATTTGTAAATTAATAAGTATCACTATGGCTCAACTGAGAAAATATTTAATATGTAATCATATAATGAAAAAAAAATTGAGCAGTCAATGTGCTAAGAAAATTCCGAAAGAAAATTTCGGATTTTTGCAGATCCTCCGAACGATCCAGAAAAAAAAAAAATAAAGAAAAGATGGTTCTCCATGATTATGTTCGGAAATCATCAGAATGGTTTTTCCTCCCCAAATATTTAAAAAAAAAATTCACTCGGAATTATCACAAATGTCAAACTTGTTTAATGAACTGTCAACTACTGTATTAATAAAAAAACAACGTGTATCTCCGTACTTCTCTGCTATCTTCCATTTTACTCGTCTGAAGGTCGCCGACAGACTGTTCCTCTAAGTCAGGATCTACTAACGACGTAAACTACGTTCGGTAAGGGGTTGAAACGGCTGATTGAATGGTTCGTGCGACTAAAAAACAAAAAAAAAAAGAGCAAAAAAAAATTACGAAACAATTTTCGAACCCTTTTTCCAATGTATCGAAGGTTATGAAGAAATGAAAAAAAGGGGAGGTAGTGGGTTCGTTAACGAACGAACAAAGTCGACTCATTAATAATCGATCAAACTGTACGGACGGTGTTTTTGCATAATTCATTTATCTCCAACGTTCTGTCTACGTAGGATATATAATTTTCATTTTCTTTCTTGGTTTTTTTTTTGGACTTTATATCCATCAAAAGTTTCTCCGTACCATTCTCGTGAATATTATTTCTTGTGAAAATGAAAGAAGAAAAAAAAAGACAAAAAAAAAGGAACAAGAAAAGTTTACGACGAACTTCTATTGCAGGATAAAGAAAAAGAAAAAAGCAAGAAAAGAAAAACGAAAAAACGAAAGATAGAAGTGTTCAAATTATAAAACGGTTGAATTCAACTATACCTTGAGTTCTCTTTTAATCGATTTTAATTAGTTCACTTTGAATCGACCGTTATAAAGTGTACAAAAAATGGTGAAGCTATTCTGGTTCTTACATTAGACTTGTTAACGATCGTTAGAGTTGCTTGATGAAAATAATAGAATAGTTACTAATTTCGATTGTACGTATAAGTAAAAGTATTTTCATATGGGAAAAAATCTTATTAATTATTATTTACAAACGACAATCACCAAAGTGATTGACTTCGACATCACTAAAGTGAATTTTATTTTATTATGGTTAAATAACATAACACAAAAATTTTATTATACTAGAGAAATTGATTATGTTAAATATACATTACGATGTACATTACACATATACCATCAAATGCAATAATATGATACATATTTACTTATATGATACTAATTCTGAGACATTTATGATTTTGAATTAAATAACATATAGTTCTATATAGTAGACGTTATATATATATATTTAAAATTAATATATGTGTATATATATAATATATATTTAATATATATTATTTTAATATTTATCAATATAAATAATATTGATAAAAGATCGATTTGAGTAATTGGATAAAATTGTCTCAAAAATATTCACAATAAAGGAGATATGTTAATTAATGCAATATTCCTAATGATATCCACGTATTGAAAAATTGTAAATATATACATTTCTTTTATCAATTTTGTTGAGTTATGTTGCGATTACAATATTAAATCCCAATAGTACTCCTTATTGTTAAATACAATGAAAATAAATGAGGTCTATCATATCATAAGCCGCGATGAATATCCATAGATCAAACCGTGTACTGACTTATCATAAATAAGGATTTTGAGCCTTTATTATCGTGAGTATTAACCAGAAGTAGATTATTACCATAACAAGAATCCATGGAAAATTATTGGTTATATGATGATATTGCTAGGTTAATATTTTGAATATCACTTAATCTATATAAAAAAGAAGTAGATTAAATATCATAATGGGTTGTTCGAAAAGTAATTTCGTTTTTTTTGATTAAATTATATATTGGCCATTCTGGTCAAATACCTTTTGCCATCTTTCTGGTAATACTATGATTTCACGCTCATAAAATTTTTGACCTCCTCATTTGAAGTGAAGGTTTTACCATCTAAAAAATTTTGCAGTGACCGGAACAAATAATAATCCGAAGGTGTCAGATCTGGAAAATATGGTGAGCGTGGCATTGTATTCCATTCAAGCTATAAAAGCTTTTGGTGAGTGATCAAACTTGTATGAAGTCTCCCGTTATCTTAGTGGAACACTACACCTTTTCTGTTGATTAATTCTGGCCTTTTCTATTGAAGTGCATCATTCAGTTTGTCCAGCTGATGACAGTAGACTTCCGAATTAATTGTTGTGTTATCCGATAAAATCTCAAAAACAAAAAAAAACGATTCCTATAAAATCCCACCAAACAGATAGCATCACCATTTTTTGATGGATATTGGCTTTGGAAATACTTTGAGCCGGTTCATCTTTTTTGCTCCATGATCATTTCATGGATCATTTTCGTGACGTCTGAAAAATGAATCACAGACGTCAACGCGACGACACAAATTTCTCTCCGTGAGAACATGGGGAACCCATATATCGAGCATCGAGGTAAAACCCAGGCCTTTCAAGTGGTCATAAACAGTTGAATTTGATAAATTCAACCTCTTACCGATCTCACGTGTTGTTATTCGCCGGTTTGCATCAACTAATGCCTTTATCGTGTCTTTATCAGCTTCAACCGGCTTTCCAGAACGTGATGCACCTTCGACATCAAAATTGCCGGATCGAAATTTTGCAAACCACTTCTGGCACTGGCGTACTGTCAACACATTTTCTCCATACACATCGGTTAATTTCTTTCTAGCTCGAACAGCTTTTCTATAGTAAAAAAGTAAAATATGACGAAAATGCTGCTGATTGCTCTCCATATTTAAAAGGGCACTAACCAAAAACTACTACGTAGAATCAATTGGACTTTTTCACACACAAGCCTTGCTATATCAGCTCTCAAAATACGTAATGATTATGCAGCTTAAGTGTGAAGTTGGATGCAAAAAAAATACAATTAAATCCTCTGTCGGAAAAAAAACGAAATTACTTTCCGAACAACCCAATAAATTTATAAATATGTACATTCTATAAAGCAGTAGTTATTTTTAAATATGATTATAATTTTTTCTTTCTCTCTCTTTTTTTTTTTTAGATCAATGCAATGTAATTTCTGGAATATTTTCTATTTTGAAATTAACTATCTCTATAGATAGGAAAGATCGGGACTAAATATCTTAATGTTGAGAAAACATAGAAAAGACAATAAAATATATTATAACTCATATCATACATCATTTAAATGGAACATTTTGTGATAACATTGGAAATAACCAAAATAATTAATGTAAAAAAAATTAACAACTTCAACTATGTAAAAATATAGGATTGATAGGAAGTAAAAGAGAGGGAGATAATAGGCGTGGCCAAATGGCGGTATATGAACGAATGCTGGCTCGTGTTCTTCTCTCGAAGAAATCTTACTAGTCCTGCTCATCAGCTGTGTCATCACAACGTAATATTAGCGCCATTCTTACGCGTTACTGCCATCAAATCCGAGAAGCACGAAGACATTTGCTATGAAGGACATATACAAATACGCCCTCGGAAAATGAATGTTGTAATACGAAGAATGTACAATACAATGGCTCACGAAAGTATTCGAATGCTCACTATTGAAACTTTACATGTATAATGAAAATGTTACACTTAAGCTCGGGAAGTAATATTGCAGTTATTATAGAGCATAATTATCCAGATTATGTATACTAAATTTGAAGCGAATCGAATAATATTAGTAAAAGTTATGAAACATTCATTGTAATGATCACAAAAGTATTTGAATGCTTAGATAACAAGTGGTCGAAAAATGTTTTCGTAGAGAAAACATGTGGAAAATCCAATTAATGAGTAATTTCATTAAAGTGCATATAATTAATACCGTTAAAATACTTTTATGACCCTGTTTCAATACATCTTTGCAATGAATGTTTTATATGTACTATAAATATTATACGATTCATTTCAAAGTTTGTACATATAATTTCGATAGTTATGCTTTATAGTGGTTGCATTACTTTCAAAATTTAAGTCTAACATGTACGATTTTATTATTTTAAGATTTAATACCGAGCGTTCGAATACTTTTATTAGTCATTATGTATGTATATATATGACTTCGGAAAATAAAAACGTTATTTATAAAAGACATAAAATAATTTCAAGTGAGATAAGTAATAACGCATAAGAAAATTCGATCTAATATTTTCTAAATACAGTCCAATTTTCGAATATTTGTTGGATGATAGGATTGACCATTATTAACAATTTTCATTATTAACAATACACTTTGTTTATTTTCAATAAAAGAATTTATTTATAATATAAAAATTAAATTAAATCTAAAAAATTTTTCTCTTGATCGTTAAATCATAATTTATTAACGATTTATCAAAAAATGATGTCTTTTTCTGAATAGGGTGCATTAACATAGTATCTAAAAATTATATTTGCATTTATTATAAGATATTGACGTGGGATTTTTGAAAAAACAAATACGTTTTTACTAATTTGTATTTTTGAAAATACAAATTACTCCCTGACTTTCCAATTAAATGGTTGGGATTTTTTCGAGGATTTTTTCGAAGTACACTCAGCTGCTTATGGAGATGAAAAGATTTTTATTCTTTGTCTTAATCATTTTTAATGACAAAAATCTATCATGATCTTTTTTTTAAATGCAGAACAATAAACAGAATGATATGTCTCATGTATTTAGAGAAGATGCAAAAAACCAGAAGTAAAGAAGCAGAACCTATCTGACCTGGTTGTTATGTAAGAAACACAAGAAATGAGTACAAAAGCAATCGGCAAGTGACAATGTAATAGAAAACGTAGATAATAATATTAATGCCTAAGTTACTGGTAGTTTTATATTACCCTACTTTTCGCACAGACCTGAATGATTTAATACAATAAGACAATGTGATAGCATGTTAATAACCTTCATGACAATTTAATCTATAAAGTTGATCGAATGAGTTGAGATTAGATGAGGGTGAAAAGATTAAGGAGACTGGCTACTCTTGATGATTGGAAAAAATTGATTTTTTTTTTACATTTTTATTAACTTTGAAGTTTTGTGAGGAATTTAAGCCAAGGTCAGTAAATTCGAAAAATTGACGAAGTTATAGGTGTTCATAGCTTGAACCGCTACAAGCGGTGTATCGCACGGTACGATCCATACATACTCGTCGTGTATAATTGTTCCATTGTGTCTTTTCGTATGTGTACAGCGAAGAAAAAGTGACAAAAAGATATATGTGCTGTGTCTCCAGAAACTCTCCCGACTTTGTGTTATAACTTTGCACCTTAAAATAACTTTTAAATTATATTTCGTGAGCGTCACATTTCACGATGCCTGAACGCATCGAACAAAGAAAATACATCATATTTTGCCAAAAACTTGGGCATACGTATTCGGAAACCATAGATATTATTCGTAAAATGTATGGCGATGAATCTATGAATGATATATAGAGTCAATTTAAAAGTGGTAGAGTAGATTTAAAAGTGATCGTACAGTTGAAAGCGAACCTCATTCTGGAAGACTCGTAACTGCTAAACCTCCTGAAAAAGTGGAACGTATTCAAATTTTAATTAATAAAAATCGGTGAATAATAAAAAAGACGGTTGAATAAGGATTATTATTTAGAAAAAAACCCATCGGATCTTTAATGATTTTCTCCGTGCATTGAAACATTACTTTCTCTTTTTTCGAATGTATCTAAAAATAAATGTGCTTAAAGATCCGGATATCCTTTGAATAACCTCTCGATCAAGAAGTTTTTCATAAATCTAATTCGGCCGGTTACGAATACACTTTGACCATAGTAAAGCCTGACACAATGAGAACTCTTCTGGCAATATAAAGATACATATCTCATCTACTGACAAATGCCGTCCCTAGTCCTATTTACAAACATTTATTTGTTTTAAATTGTGTTTATAGTTGGTCTGTGATGTCCTGCACCCCAAACAGGTACAACAAAAAGGATAAAAAAAAAACGAGCAAAACTGCCAAAAAAGAAATAAAAAGTAGCTATTGAAAAAAGAATTAGAAATTTTAAGATGATTCATTTCTCGGGGCTGGCATTTTATATCAATTGTAAATATATTAAATATACTTAATAAGAATTTACCATAGAAACTTAGATTTCAAATTTTAACAATTTATTTCTCAACTCTGATGGCTAAAATTACAAAAATAAAAATTACTTAACCAATTGATTTAAAACCAATGTACGTTCAAAATGTATTAAACTTTTACTAATTTGTTGAAGTAATTAAATTATATTTTTTTATCTCAAAAATTTGTTATTTAGAAAGTCAGCAAACTATTGAAAAAATCGTTATTTGAGTTTTCTGAGAACAATAGAGTTTTTAAATCCACGTCTCGTACATTTGTTATTTTGTGCATTTTCTACGACGCATATTTCAATAGTAACATTCGAACAGATTGAGAATTCGCTTGAAATTCATATCTTTTTCCTTTTTTTTTTTATTTTTTTAATATCACTTTTCAACCTGCGACAGATGGTCACCATCATGAGGAGTAGAAGAGTATCAGACCTTCGAAATGACGCAAAAAAGATCAAACCTGCTCGAAATTTTATGAGTAAAAATTCTCTAAAATATCTTTAACCCCTACCAAAAGTATCTCTACGTCTCATCAAACCATTTAACAAAGATCCCTTATTATAAAAGAAATAATTGACTTATATTATGGTGAAAGAGTACATTATTATTATTCCTCCTACATTTTCTTTGACAATCTTGCTTACATCATGAAGACGGTAACGTTAGAAATAGTCCGGGAACGCTCAATAAAATAGCCCATATGATCACAAAAAAATACAGGCTATAAAAAGTTTGAATCCTTGATAGGTCCAGAAAAGCCTTAAAAAATCAAATAATCAATATCATTTGTAAATGATTGTCATAATAAACAGATGATGAATTAAAAATGCAAGAAACAAGATACCTTCGCCATTTTATACGAGGTTGCGGAAGCGTTTCGATGGGATCCTTTAAGATGTATTTTCTCATTCTTGAAACTTATGTTGTAAAATAAATATCCCAAACGATATCTTTCATATCACAAAGGAATAAATCACGATCTGCGGGTGTCAACTTCTTCATTAGTTCATTCCATCTTTCATTCGTATACCTCCATTCGTTCGTACAAAAATAATCAAAAACGTCCGCCATTTGGTGAATTTTCTTATACATTCCGAGTGACCTTTAACGAAAAGTATAATATATCTAAGCAAATGAAGTCTATTTAGATTAAATAAAAATTTAAAAAAAAAATATAATGTTTTTAATATTCATTAAAAATCCGTCACTTCATAAAGACCAAACTATTATATTCGAATAAGGATGAATTAATTTAATTTGTTCTAAAATCATCATTTTATTCATTCATGAACGATATCATTTGACGCTACCTTAAATTATTAGCAATGCCCCAAGCATTACCAGTTAATCCATTAATCGTCAGGACTCCGAGTACCAAGTTCTCTTCCATCGATGCAACGCAATGATGAATTCATATTATTCCCATTAGAACATTTGCTGTAATTCCTATAGTTCCGTACATATTATCTACCCATCCTTGAATAGGTTCTCGATATCACTAGGAATATTTAATTGATTAACATACATCATTTATTGTTTTATTCTATAATTTATTACATAAATTACATTACTACCAACCAATTACAGGACGAAATATTTCAATTGGTATCGTGTCAGCATGCTTTTTTATCACATTCTCAGCAAGGGATTTTCTATACACATAACTATTTGGCCATCTTCCAAGTAAACCAAAATTAAAAAATTGTACAAGTGTATTATCAACCAACGTGCACCATCTATTTCTTTAATATCTTTGTTATAAATAAATATGAAACGTACTGCGGTGTAATATCGTTAACTAATTTTTCTTCCATAAGGTCAATCAAATCGATCAATTTGTCAGCATCTATCGGTGGATCATAAATCTTTTCCTCGATCTGATTGTAAAGGCAGTTGACATAAACCGTGGATACGTGAACGAAACTCTGACATATTAAAAATAACAAACATTTATTATAATCAGAGCTTTCATTAAAAGATCTTGATAATCATTAGTAAGTATATATAGGATAAAGATGATACCTTCAGATTCGGCATTTGGACAAATTTATAAAATCCCTTAGACTTTGGACGTTAATAGCTATCGCCGCTTTCATTGCTTCATTGAATCTCACGGTCGCGGCGACATTGAAAACAATTGATACTTCGCTTGTGAGTGTAGCTCTATCAATTTTGAAAATACCGAGATTTGGCAAGCTACAATCTCCTTTAATTGTGAATATTCGTTTTCGGAATTTTGGTTCTTCCTTCCTCAACTTGGAAAATAACTAGAAAACGCACAGAATTGTAAATTTTGCCTATTTCGTTTAAATAAATGTCATAACAAAATAAATAGCATTAGAAGACTTTGTACATGTCCAAAGTACACTAAACCAATAATATATTTATTAATTTCTTGTTTCTTATATCTAACAAGTATATACAAGGTATTCAATTTATCTCAAATAATTAAAACTTGAGAGACTGAAGCGAACAAAAAAATTTTTGAAGAGATTTGTTTGGTATGATCGGAAACATTGGATGGTGCCAAATTTATTTATTGTAATTCGAACGATATGGAAAATTTTACAGCTAAGTTCATTTTTTTAATAGAAATATATATTCTTTTTTCACGATAAAATGATTTTTTGAGACGAATTCGACGACTTTCTATATGAAGTCATTTATTATTATAAAATACTATAAATTACATTATAAATTCGTGAGATCTTAAATAGAAAGGAACACAAACATACATCATTAGTTCCTGACTGTTATACTCCATACAATTCAACATGAATGTAAATCAGTCCATCAAAAAGCAATTATATAGTTCGATTTAAAAAAATGAATTTGACTTTGAAATTCTCCCAACGTTTAACACGCTTAAAAAGAAATTGAAATTGAATGATGGATCTCTTCACATTAAACAAATCCATACAAAAACTTTCTTTTTTAAGTTCGACCTCTCACAAAATATTCCCATTTTTTAAAAATGAATAAGACACGCTGTATACATTATTTAATAAATACAAAATCTCATAGTTAAAGAAACAAAGAAAGTATAGAAATAATAAACAACTTACCGAATCTTCCATAAATTCATCCAAGTGTTCAAGAACATTTTTCCCTTTTTTCGAACGTATCAAAATATAAATGCATCTGATGCCAGAACATCCTCTTAACAATTTCTCGATTAATAATTTTCCCATGAATCCAGTTCCGCTAGTTAAAAATACAATTTCATCGTCGTAAAACTTTTGAATAGGTGTAAGTTTGTCGATTATTTCGACGGACGATTCTATAGTTTATGTTCCAACTGTTGAATCAAGGGCCACTTCTTGGTAATACTCTTCTAACAGCGGTTTCATCATTTCTACGCTTCCAAATCGATCTATAAAAGTAAGCGTGAATTAGAATTTTTTTAAATTCTATATCATAATTTTCTCTTTCAGACAGATTTTTTTAATCCGCTTCTGAAAAGAAAACTGATAATTTTATAATCTTAACATCAGAGTATATATGCTAACGCGACGAAGCTTCTATTCTAATTGCTTCTTTTCTCTTATCTTCATATTCATGTAACGATCACTTTCAATTATAAAATATATATTCATGGCAAGCACGTTGTGTATGTATACCTATATACTACTTTTCTGAGATATGAACGTACAAAAAGTAACAATGGGAAATAAAGAAGGTTAAATACGGTTGACAAAATATCCTCGAATAAATCTACATTTCAATTGTTTATTACAATATATTTTCTTCTTTAATCTATTATGATTTTGATCAAAGAAGCAATTTTTCGTGAGAAGAATTTTTCACCTTTTTGGCTTGTCTTGAAATTATTCGAAAAAATCAATTGACACAATGCGTTATGAGGGTAATGAGAGTCGATTGTGACATTGGTTCGTCGAAATTTATTCACAATAAGTATGTAGCGAATATCAAATACATATCTATATCTATAATAAATAGGTATCTTATTTTCAGCCTACCGTTTTGAGACATTGTTCGATAAAAAAAAAAAACAACCGCTAAGGTTATGCATTCATTATCTTTTTTTTTTTAATCTTACGCCGAATTTTACGATAGTTTTCTCTCCATTCTTGATTTATCGTCACACAATTCAATTAAGAAATATAACGTTTAGATAACATTTTATATAACATTTTCTTTTTCTTATTTCGACTAATAAAATATACTAATAAAGTTTGACAATTACAGCCTACGATAATTAAATCCTGCATATATTTTTCCGAGATGCAAACGTGCAAAAAACAATAACAAGAAACAGCAAGTGTTAAGAACAATATGAATAATCAATCCCACTAATGTTACATTTACCAACTTCATGATCCATCTGCTCAATAAGTAATGAAACTTTACTAAGTCATTTATATGCTTCGAGAACTTACTTCTCTAGTTTCACTGGACTACATATGTTCGGGATCAAAATGAAATTTTTGTTCTATCTAATTATTCTAACTTATAATTATCTTCTTTTTATTCTTTTGAAAATTATTATAAATTTAAATATTCGGTATCAAAAGAATATTATAAATGAACTGTAGAAAAATCAAGAGCAAACCTTAAATAATTCGAGAGAAAACGGATCATTAGTCTAAAAAAGAAGGAAGCTTTTCAGAAATTAGTATAAAAAAAATTATTTTAGTAAAAACTTACTTTTCAGTAGAAAAAGCAACCAAAATCCTCCGCTATTGTAAAATTTATCTCCTTCCAAACCGTCCAAGCTTATCAAAGATAACATTCTCTTAAAAATTTTTCAAGCTTGTAACTTTGTCTTGAAAATCACTTCATATCCTCAGCTACGACTGTCGTATTCCATTCCCAGCTATTCTGAGCCACTTTCAATTTGCCAGCATTACCATCATTAAATATGATGACAGTATCATATATACCAATCTGTGATATATGAGATACAGACAAATACATTTTTTGATATTCTTATCAATAGAATACAATAGAATGATTTATTTACATTTAATGTTTCCTATATAATTCCTCGATAGTAGTTTCTGGTAATTATCTTCATAACTGATATTACAGATTAACGCATAGTTTTTACAAGTTAACCAATACAGAGTTTCAGCTGCTTCAGCAGTTTTATATTTAAATCAATCGTTTGAACAAAAGTTGTGACCGTCTTGAAATTTCATGGAAAAATGTTGTCCTATATATTATCTAGATTATGTTCACTGCTTCTTACGGCCTGGCCATAATATTTTAATAGCTGATTGACGACATCTGTCAGATGATCCTGTATAATTACACTGTTAGAAAGCGGTATCTTAGAATACTCATACTTCTTTCATGAAAGTTGGTTATAAATAGTATTTTATATTACTGCACTTACTCTTTGACGTAAAAAATTGTTCTGAACATCTTCCACTTTGTTTATTTTCTTTCTTGCTGCAACTTGTAAACTCATCGAACAGCGGATTTGAATATATCCAAATCTACAGTTATATTAATATCTCTTTCATTCAAATTTATCTTATTTGAGTAGACTTCATTTCATTCTTAAAGTAACTTGAAGGAGTACAAGTCTGTGAAACTGATGTATAGGATATAGTTTCAATCCTAACCTCATTCGCAACTTTCGATATAATTTTGTAGTATCGAATCCCATTGTTTTTTACTGTTTTAAACATTGTTTTACCTCGTATCATGGTTAAATCTAATAATTAATAAACAAGATTAATGCACTAGAACAACAGGAGAAAGAATCAAAAAATTATCACGTTCGTAAGACAAAATCGATTCTGAGAGAAAACACATACTGTATACAATCGTCAACGAATTAGAAAAATAAAAATTCCAGTAATCATATTTTCTCAATAAAAATAAAATCGAGAGCACAAATTCATTTTTTCACATATCAATAAATAATTTTCTCTACACGATATTGTAAGTGACGTCATAAAAATTTACTAATAAAAGATAAATATATATTTGTTCGATAATTTGTTGAAAAAATTATATTTTATATAATAAAAGTACTTACATAACATTATAATCCAAACATTAATGTTACTGAGGTATACTTTATTTTAGAGAATGTAAATAATAAACTTCACTTCTTTTATCGAAGTATGTAACAATCTGTTAAAGCAACGTAAATCGGTACGCAGTCAACAGAGAGCGCTGATGACCACATCGATGAAGATGACCAATCACATGTTGGTGAAGTAACCATTGGGAGCGTAGCATTCGACACGTTCTATAGCTCGAAAAACAAAAAAAGTCTGCCGAAAGTTCACTTTCACTCAATCCGTATTTTATAAGCACGAAGGACCTAGGAAGAAGGATTACTTAAAATTAACTGTTAAATTGGAGATATATTATGTATAATGTAACTAATAAAAAATCATTCAACACAATATCGTAACATGCTAACGTCGAACTAACTATGAATCTTTGATTCCAGAAATTCAAAAATGTACTTAGAAGTAATAAACTTTCACACGGAGTATATATGTGTTGATAATAGTTGAATGTATAGTTAATCGCAACATTGAGGATTGTATAGAGCTTTTAACTTTTAAAATTATTAAAGAACCAAGAAGTTGGTTAAACTCAAAACGATAATTCTTATTAACAAGATGTTAGCTAAAAACACAAAAGAATACCATAGATTATAATTTGTTGTGACGTTATTCGATCGAAGTATTCATAAAAGGTTCAACTTACGCTTATTCAAAATATTAAAAAAAGTTCGAACCTATTTCTCGTTTGAATTTACTTGAAATTACTGATTTTCCTCTTTGAAACAGATATGAAACATTCGAAACTATCCAATTAGAATCGAATCTACTTGTAAAATACTTAATTCCATTCCTGAATTCGAGAGTAATATACGCCTATAGATATGCAATCTTTAACTAATCATCTTCATTCAGGGGTACTACCATGATCAAAGTATATTCATGAGCTGTAGAAGAATATTTATAGAGGAATTATTCATTGAGTAATTTTTCAGAGACGTCAAGTTTTATATCTTATAAATTTCGAAATATTTTTCGATATGTTCGAAAAAAAGAAGAAGATAATTTGAGGATTCAATGAGTTATTATTTTTGATCGATAATTATTTCTATATTTTCTTTCATCTTTATTTAAATCATAGATTTCTTGATTCCGTTTAAAAAACAAAGTAGATATTTTCTACGATGAGAGAGAAACAATCGGAATTCCGAACGAAAAGGAAACGAAACTATTTCCCGTGATCGAGTGTAATTGTAATTTGAAGAATTTTGTTATTCCGATAACCGATAGAATTACGCACATACACGAAGTATCAGTTGTTTTTTATGTTACGCCGTAATCATAAAGTTTAACGAAAAAATCTTCTGCAGTGGTCTTCACTTGATGAAGGAATTTGCTTATACAAAATGCAGATAGCAAATGGTATATAAATATTTCAACATTAATGTGTTTGTGAGTATGAGATTGTAAGGGATCTTAAAGTTCATCGTAAATGAATACATTTATTATTTTTTTTTTTATTTTACGTTCACTCTTCTTCTTGCAACAATTGAATGCGATGATTATGTTTTCATTCACATAACTTGCCCAAAGAAATGGCAAAATTTAGGTGCACATCTTTATGTGCGTCTATATGTGTTACGTGCCAAAACGCAATATGAGTTTGTCTCCGCAATGCGATGAATAAAAGATATTTTCGCTAGATTGGAAATGTTTAAATGTATAATTTATTCTCTAGATGGTTTGTATTCCTAGATGGTAATTGAAGAGAAAGTTTTTAAGAGTAGACAGTAGATTCAGAGTGATGAGTGATTTGCAGGAGAGATTTTCGAAAAAAGGCAAACTGAGGAGGAGAGATTTGTTTTAGAGAGTTGGTGAGAAATAGAAAAAGTCCTGTAAGAGAGGAGAAAGCGTTTGCTGGGGATAAGGAGGTCTTGTGGTGTTATGGATTTGTGAGGATCTGTATTTAACAATCTTAAAATGATTAAATATACTAATTACAATAATAATGATAATAATACAACTAATAATATGACTAATGATAATGATAATGATAATGATGATAATAATGATAATAATATCATAATAATAATAACAATTATGATAAAGATATTAATTACAATGATAGTATTATAGTAGATATAGATGACATGGAATTGAACATAACATTCCGTGGATCTGGCATCTACGGGACTTGCTTAATCGCGGCAATAATTTTTACATTTTTACATTTGAAATAAAACTTTAGAATAATTGTTATACTTGTGAAAAGTATGAAATATTTTGGTTTGAAAATGAAGCAACGTATCTATGCCACGATTACTTTTATTATTAATATTTTCTTGTGAAATAATTTCATTACTAGCATTTATTACAATTTGAAGTTAATAGTAACCAATAAAAAATTGTATTTAACAATTAAATAGAAGTATGATGAATGGTTAATTAGATTATAAAATTATATATATATATATATAATTATTATAATATTATATAAATAATATATATATATTTCTTACTCTTTTTTCAATTTATCAGCAAAAATCCTTGACCGTTTAATTAAGTCGATTGGTAATTTATCAAACCTGATTGTTATGTCGCATCTATACAAGGCCTGAATCACAAAAACATATGTATTTACTTTTACATGCGAACTATATAACCCGTATGAAAATGTTATTCTAAAATGATTTGTGTCCAATGTCTTCATGTAGTCAAAGTCATAGTCATAGTCTCGTTTTAATTTTTATTCGTCGATGTTTATTATAAGTTAAGTTTTCGGGCGCACGTACAAGATTAGATTACTAATATTTTTTATTAAGCGGTTACGTTTTTGCTTTTTTCTTGCATTGAATTTGCATTCGATCTCTTTTAATATTATCGATAAATTTGTATAATCGTGCTTACGTGTATGTAAAAAAGAAATGTAACAGCATAGAAATGATATTTTCTTCTAGTACAATATTAATCGAATAATCTAATGCAAATTGAAATGATATAAAATTTTTGACTTCAAACGTTAATAGCTGACGTTGATTTCATTTTCTCATTGCATCTCACAGTCGAAGCAACGAAGAAAACAACCGGGACCTCTCGTATAAGTATAGTTCTATCGATCATTAAGATACCGAGATTCGGCAAATTACAGTCGCCCTTGATTGCGATTATGCGATGTCGAAATTCTGATTGTCTATTCCTCAGCGAGCAAAATAACTATCGAAATCACACATTGAAAGTGTTGTGAATCTTTCAGGTTTTTTCCACATACGCATCATAAATAAGTATTATCAGGTCAGTCCAAAAGTTCGTGTGCATTTTGGCGAATCCCATGCATACTACTAATGCGCACAAACTTTTGGACTAACCTAATATTTCATAAAAGACAACTGTTTGCAACTTCTAGCATGTTCAATGTGCATCATTTTACGAAATTTATTTTTCAATTTTTTTTCTTTTTACATGTACTAAATATTAAATTTTAAATACCGTTTCTAGTGGTAATAGGGAATCTCAGAATTTAATCAGAGTGATATCATATATAGACAATTTAATTATATTATTAGATATTAGTATGAAATAATAATCGATCACATTTAAACAACTCATTATTCGAATCTTCATTCATCGAGTTTCTTCATGCATGGAAGCACGTTCTTTAATAATTTTCAAAAATATCGAAATTTAAATGAATCTTATGACATGCTAATCTCTCAATAATTTTTCGTTGAATAATTTCATCTCGTTACCGTTGAAAATTATTTATAGAGTTAATAGAATTATCGGAGTAATTTTAGAAATATATGGAAAATAAATAAAAAAAGATGTATTAAAAATCAATGAGTACAATGAAGAAATACAAAAAATAGAGAAATAAGTCATTCTAAATTAGATATATTACATAAGCTTTAATTTCTGCCGATCATCCGTCATCTTTTCTAAATATTTATTGGTAATATTTGTCTATATACTTGAGTCGATTTGAAATTTATCGGACCTGATTATTATTCACACTATATCATGCCTTGTGATTGAGTTTAACGTCGATAAATAAAAAATAGAAGAAAAAAATATGCAAGATATAGCAAAGACTAAATAATGCATAACGTTGTTCCTTTTTTGAGCAAAAATTCATCAGCGAAAGTTCATTAATCATAATATGCACAAGATTAACTTAGATAAAATAAATGTGTCAGGTTCACATAAATGAGAATTTGTAAAATTTGATTTCCTTAACGTAACATGTTTATTTAATAGAGTAGTGGTGGACATGGAACAGCAACGACAAAATATGAAATTATAGCGATATGATGAAACAGGAAATTTTCATAACTTCATTTTATTTTTCTCGGAGTTCTTTGATTTTTAATATTTTTATCGATTTTAGACAAATTCCAAACATTTAATCAATACGTCGAGATTTAATTTTAAAATGTAGAGTTTTCGTTCGTTATTTGTTGTGTACAATGATAATTAAAGTTTTGAAAGGTAGAGGGAAAGGGCTACCAACTTCTACTAGACTTTATAATTTAGTGCAAGAATGCCATTCTTTCGTGTAGCATCTAAAAATTGCATGAGCACAAGAGAAAAACGTTTAGAACTTCGATGAATGTGCGTCAATTTTAATTGTGCAAAACTAAATATACTTCTAAGACTAAGTTAAGTTTATGTAAATTTGCATTAAAAATTCATAATTATAAAATATGTTATAAAGATTTAGTCATAGTCCTCTATGATAATTCAACAAATTCCAAGTCTACATTGAAAAAAGTATAAAAAAACTTTTTGAGTTATACGCAGTTATGCGAAATATTTTTTCAGTTATTTAGATATTATCATAATTTAACAAAATAAAAAAAAAACTAGCTGCAAAAGATTGCACTCTAATTGTAATGAGATACTGCTAAACCGATCATTTAAATGACCCGTGATAATTAAAATACTAGCAAATTTTTCATAATTTGAAATATTAAATATTTTTGTATAATCATAATTTAAATAAATATAAAGAATTTAAATTAATATATTATTATTTAAACAATTAAATTAATAAATCACAATTATTACGATTACAATTTGGCAATACAAAAATTTTTTAAATATTAATGTAATACTTTAATACAGAAAATTTTTATTTTTACTAATATTTATATTTATATCTTTAATATAAAGATCAAAGGAGAAAATAAAAGCAAGCAAATGAGGAAGAGAGGATGTAATTATATACGGAGACAATATTCTACATTCGATCATAGCTAAAAACTTGATGAATTTAAAAGGATTAAAGATTTTTTATGACACTTACACGACAATTAACATAAAAATAGAGAAGAAATTTATTATAAGTAAGTCCTCTTTCACTCTTCTCACTAAGACGCTTCGTGTCGATTTATTTTACAAATAAAATCCGGTTAAACCTGATTAAAATTAGAAATCATATTTCTCTATTCTCCATGAATAAAAGAGAAAGTATAGCGTAATAATTATGGTGGAAGGTCATAACAATGAATGATATTCATTTCAAAGATACTTTGAGAGACGTAATAAACATTTTTCACTACGTATTACGTATTATTTTGGTACTTTTCCATTTCGAAAAAACACTGACGTATTCATATGTGATGATATCAGATTATTCACTAGAATCATGGATGTTGCAATTACGAAACTTTTTATTTAACAGCGTTATAAACATTTAATTGAATAATGATCTTTCGACCATTTGTATAAAAAAAATTAATATGTAAATAAATATGTATAAAAGGGGAAATAAAATCAACGAGGTAATGATTGACCAAGAAATTGTGAAGAGGATATCATTTAAAAAAAAAGATATGTCTTTTGACACGCTCCGGTAAAAAGAAATTAATTGACCATGAAAATCGTTATCTGATTGCCTGTACCAATAATTACATAATTTCTTGCATCATTTCCAAACTCATCTAAAAAGCAACATGTAAATTCGAATGTAGAAATTTTTTCTGTTATTCTATCTTACACGTTAATTTTGATCTTCCTTTCTTTTCTTCTTCGCATGAATGTTTCATCCATTTCTAAAATAACATTAATTTGTATGATAATATTATTTTAATATTAATATTAATATTAATTTTCGTTTAAGTCTCGTTCGTAATGTTTAAATACATACTATTAAACATATCTCCTACGATAAGAATATCTTAAATATGCCATTAAAACGCTTCTCCAAGCATATATAAAATAATAAAGACATCTTTTTTCTTGCCATTTTTTTTTAATGTTTCTTTATCATTAAAATTTAAAATAATGCCCTCTTTCCGAATTTAGGCTTTATTGAATACATCAAGCATTAAAACAAGCAATAAACTCTGTGTACTGATCGCTACTTTTGGAACACATGTATTTTCCAGAATACGAATTATCTTCGAATATAAGAAAAAAAAGCAAAAGTGTCGAAAAAGATCAAGAATTGATCAATGAAAAGTAGTGGGAGAAAAAGGTTAAATGCTTTTGGTTGTTTCTGTATTTCAGTTCAAAAGTTAGCTTCGTTCAATCAACACCTATTACGGTCTTAAGGATTAAAAAGAAATCTCTACTCCGAATATACATAACTTTACAGTAAGCCCGTCTATTTTAATTCTGCAATATGGAAAATAATTCTGAAAGTAAGTAAATTTTATAGAAGTATACACTTAAAAAGAATCAGAATTAACAGATGTGTTATAAAAATTTAGTAACATTCTTTTATGAAAATTCAAGTAAATAATTACGTGAAAATTTTAAAAAGCATGAGAAGGTTTGTGACTTACACGAAATTACAGAAAAAAAGAAATTAAGACATCCGGTTAATACTACAATTCAACAAAATCTAGAAGAATTAGCTGCAACTACCATAATTAAAACGATAAATGGAATACGAAAAATTTTTTTTTAATTTTCGAAATATTCAGAAGTGTAAACACGGAAGGTGATCAGCTTTGATTATTCTTTTGTTAGTGGACCGATCAAAAATATTTTTATATGACATAAACATTGTTGAGATGGAATATGTAATGTAATTATCTACAGTAAATTTCTTGACACTCTTTTTTGTCGGTTTTTATATGATCCCCTTTAGTTTTATATAGACTAACTTTTAACTTTTTTGCATTTATCTTTTAACAAATATTGAAAAGGTTTCTCCAAGAATCATAATAAATATATTTTTCCTGTCTGAAACGAAGGAAGATTAAAAAATTTGTCTAGTTGAAAGAATTTCGTAACATTTTATTAACGAGGAATATCACACTTTGTTCTGTTTGCGTAGTACCTGGAAAAATTATAGGTATACTAGTACAGAAAAATGATCGCAGTCGAAAACTCAATTGATTTTTCTTGTATAACTTGTTTTGTGATATTCATTTATTACATATTATTATGAGACAGGTTGAACGATACGTTTGCAATTGAAGTTTTTCATACGAGGTCATTTCATTCTTATAATAGATAAAAACCAATATCATAAAGCAATTAATGTTAATATACGTACATGTTTCTTTCTTCCATGTTACGAGTTATTTTTCCCTTTCGAATTCAGTACACCAATTATCGATCATTTTCTATTATTACGAAATTGGCTATTTTAAATTATAAATATGTACTAGGATGAGTAATAGGTGCCATGAATGGCCTTTAATAATCGATATTAAGATAGAAAGAGTCAACCCATCGAAATAAAGATTGTGTTAATGATAATTAAACGTTCGATTATAATATTATCAACGGACACTTGAACTTACTTGCATTATCGTTTAAACGATTAAAATAAATAAATACGATAGAGAAACAGAAAAGATTTCTACATTTACGTTTATGTTTATGTTTATAGATCGATCTAGAAAAGCAAATATGATAGACGTACTGCCAGAAAGAGATGAACAAGAAATAGCCCTATCCGGAAGTCCTTTGAGAGATGCTACGGAAACTAAATATGCACCTGTGTGTATTCAACCCATCGAGGATAATTACGAACTTACACCCATTCAAAAATTTTACAGTGGTCAAAGTATTTTTATAACTGGTGGAACAGGATTCGTAGGAAAGTTATTGATCGAGAAATTGTTAAGAGAATGTCCCGGTATCACTTGCATTTATCTTTTGATACGTACAAAAAAAGGAAAAAGTGTGCATCAACGCATGAAAGAACTAATCGAAAATTCTGTGAGTTATTATATGTATTACAGAGATAAGTAAATTATTGTTTCACCTTTGATTCAACTTTGATATTATCTCTTTCTATTAAATTATATAATTGGTATATAAAATAAAGAAAATTGAGAAACAAATTACTAGTCTATCATAACCAGTGGAAAACACCGAAAAAAGTCGTTTTCCTGTCATTTATGATAACGAACGTGAGAGAGAACATATTTACAACTCTGTAAACTTTCCAGTTATTTTCCACTTTGAGAAAGAAACAACCAACATTCCAGAATCGTATAGTCCCAATCAAGGGCGATTGTACCTTGCCGAATCTCGATATCTCAATGGTCGATAGAGCTACATTAATACGCGAGGTCTCAATAATTTTTCATGTCGCCGCAACCGTTAAGTTCAACGAGAAAATAAAATTGGCGACAGAAATCAACGTTCGAAGTGTAAAGGATATAATACATTTGTCCAAAGAAATGTTAAAACTGAAGGTGCCACTTTTGTCCTCTGTATACGTATTAATAACAATCAGGGACTTTCAAAATCTGACTTTAACAAATCTTTGTTATCCTTAAAATTTCAGAGTGTTGTGCATGTATCTACGGCTTATGCCAATTGTTTTCATATTCCACTCGAGGAGAAATTTTATGACCCACCCATAGATCCCGATAAGTTGATAAATTTAGTGAACTCTTTAAATGAAAAATTGCTCAACGATATTACCCCACAGTACGTTTATATCTCGGTGTATCGATTATTTAGTTTCATATTTATTTATAAAAAATATAAACTGAATAGATAGTGCACTTAATTACACTCACACAATCGTTTTATTGTAGATTACTCGGAATATGGCCAAATACTTACGTTTATACAAAAACAGTCGCAGAGAATCTTATAAAGAAACATGCTGACTCTATACCGATTGGAATATTTCGTCCAGGAATTGGTTTGTAGCAACACAATCTTCATAAAACTAAGTAATAAATAATGTATATTAATTGATGTATTATTTCTAGTGATATCCACGTACCGAGAACCTATCCGAGGATGGATCGACAACAGGAATGGACCAATAGGAATTACAACAAGTGTTTTTATGGGATTAATGCGAACTCACCATTGTGATGGATCGATAAATGTGGACTTTGTACCTGGAGATTTTACCATCAATGGAATAATCGCTAGCGCATGGGAGATTGCAAATAATCGAAAGTAACGACAAATACTCGAAACAATATTTTTAGTTTCAAATTAAATAATGATATTAGAAAATATTGAATTAATTCGTCTGTATGAATACATAATCTTTTTAGATCCAATGAAGATATTCCCATTTACAATTATGTATCAAAGGACAATCCATTGACTTACGGCAGATTTATAGAAATGATAGTTTCGTATGGAGGAGTGGTACCGTCTGAAAAGGCATTTTGGTGCCCCATCTTTGAAATAACAAAATATCGGCCAATCTATCTTTCCTACGTATATTTTTTACATTTACTACCAGCTCTTATAATCGACACAATCTTTTTGTTCAGGGGTAAAAACCAAAGGTAAATTTCTCCTATCTTATTTTCTGGAGAGAGTGCATTAGAACGATAAAGAAGCAAAAAATTTCATCTGGCGCTAATCCTTTTCGTTCAAGGTTACTCAGAATGTACAATAAAATTCACGAAATGTCAGATCTACTTAGTTATTTTTCTATAAACGAAAAAAAATTTACAAATGAAAGATGGAACGAATTGATGAGGAAGTTGACGCCCGAAGATCGTGAATTATTCTTTTGTGATATGAAGGATCTCGTATGGAATACTTATTTTGAAACATACTTCACAGGCGTAAGAAAATATATCTTAAAGGATCCTATTGAAACACTCCCACAAGCTCGTATAAAATGGCGAAGGTATTTTTTTTATTGCATTTTTACTTCATTGTCCCTCTGTTATTGACAATCACTTTCAAATAATATTGATTTAAAAAATTTTCAAGGTTTTATTTGATGCATCAAGCAATGAAACTTTTTATCGCCTGTGTCCTATTTATCATCACATGGGCTATGATTTCCAGACTCCTTGTAACGTTTGGATCTTTGTAAAAGAAGCAAAAATAAGCAAAAGAATGAAGGATAAAAATAATCATAATTTAGACTATCGCGTATGTACGAATCAATAATTTCTTGAATAAAATTATATCAAAATTAAACGGTTTTTAATTCGTGATATCTCGGACAAATATTTGGGTCAGAACTTTTTCCTTATATACTACGCCATTTATTGCATATAATGTATACTTATTTTTTATATTTAATTTTTATTAAATGTTAAATTGTGGCCGAATACTTAGCCACATGTTTCATTCATAAACATCTTTGAAACAATGTATCTCCTTTACTGGATTTTCTCTTTCTTCGTGAAAATTAAGGTAAAATGATTAAGACAATAATTCAAAGTTCAATCGACAAATACGTATTAAGTAATCATAACTGCTGAGTTTCATTGCCGACATACTTATTAATTTCGTATCATTTTTACTGGGAAATTCATTACTTTGGACTTTTTTGTGAAATGTATTTGCCATACTGATCTCAAATCCCAAAAATTTAACCAAAACGTTGAAAATTAATTTCAAAATGTATAGTTTTTTTTTATGGTTATGGATTGCGTACACTGACAGTTTAAGCCTTCCGTGATTGAGGGGAAAAGGATACCTACTTCTACTAAACTTTATAATTCAGTGTTACAGTGAGTACATTCGATAACAACATCTGTACGTGACATGAGCATAAGGAAAGAATGCTTGCTTCAAACGTTTATAATTGCGATGAAAGTGCATCAATTTTAATTATGCAAAATGGGAAATACTTCTGCAATAAGTAAAATATATATAGATTTTAGTTCCATTCGATATTTCTCACATATTAACACATTTATGAACGGTGTTTTTCGATCGAGATGCTTAAATGAATACCTCATATAATTTTAAAAAATCTATAGGTAAATATTGAAAGATACAAATATATAAATGTATATCAATATAATAAAAATATTGTTTACTGATATCATTTTTATAATTATTTGTCGTTTAAAACGAGCTGATATCATCAAAAGAAAACGTCCTTATGCCAAATAAATAAGAGTATTTGTAAATAAAAATAAATTGAAAAAAGTCGGAATGGATTTCAAACAGATGTAAGGATAAATGTTGAATTAAATTGATTTAAAGAAAATTCACGATTTTTCTTTACCAATGTAGAGAACAATTTTCTTTATCCTGGAGTTCATACTGATATCTAGTAGTTATATTTTTATAAAAAGATGTATGAACAAGATTAACAGAAAAATAAAGACCAAAGAAAAACAAAAATTATTCTAAAAAATGCGGATTAAACAGGATCTACGAAAAGTATACGTGCATTGACAGAAATGGATCGAAAAATTGTTAGAATAATATGAAATCAAATAATGCGACGTAGTTGCATTACCTGTTGATACGAATATGTAAATGGAAAAATATAAAAAGAATGAACGATGTAATATTTGGGTTTATCAAGAAATCAGAGAAACACGAACAGAAATAAAACGTTTTAAAGTGAATACACGTAAATAATAAGGTACTATGGAGAATTTGAAAAGATAGTTAATTGTACCACTATACCTTATAATTAACAAGTATTTCATACAAAATCATTTTCCAAAAATTGTTTTATTCTTCACAAAATCTACTGTATTTCTGGTAATCTTTCTCCAGGCACGCTCTCGGCATTATTATCGAGCCTAGTATATTATTCAATTTTTGTATGTATGGCTACCATAGTGTCGATAAATAAGGAAGCTATATTTCGAGGGAACTTATGATTTGATAGTCCAGCCGAAACTACAAACTCGAACACCGCCATAATAAGCTTACACATTACCACCGCAAGGTGTCGCCTAAGATATTATTTTGATTTTTCCACTCTTCTACTAACCAAAATAAAAATTTTTTAACAAAGATCTACGTACATCTTAATAAAAGTTCTGGCTGTAAAAAAACCATTATTATCAATTAATTAATAAAGTTGATGGTGACGTAAAATATTATTAAAATTAGTATCATTAAATGCAGTTTTGAAATATATTAATATGAAGACCAGATCAACACGTCATAAATGGAAAGATACATTTCAGGTTATATTATGTTATTAATAATATAATAATTTTTGAGAAAATTAAATGTTATTTAATAATATTAACTATTGTTATAATTCAAATCGTTCTTTTGAAAAAGTACATGAGACAAGTATTTTCTTTGTGTAGCTTGCAGAAGGGAAGAAAACGACGAGGAAGTGGAAATGTATTTTCATGAAACGACACAAAAATGGAATGTCCTGAAATTAACATATGACTATTGCCGTTCTAAAATATAAATGAGAAAAATTATTAGAATTTTGTAATCGCTCGATAAGGAACAATATATCATCGAACGTTTCTAAAATATATATAGTTAAAAATTAAATGAGAGTAAGTATTACATTTTCTTTTTAGAAGAAATTGCAAGATAATAAACATTAACTTACTCGCTTTAAAAAGTTAATGTCTGAAGATGTGATAGACTATATCGATTTTATTTCTTTGTAAAACAGACATTATAACTTTATTCCAATAAAAAAATGAATTTGTAAATCAAAATTTTATTTATACCAATTGAAAAGAAATATTCAATTTCAGCAACAAATTATCCAGGAAAACTCGGAATTATCTACAAATGAAAATAAGCTTATCTCTAAAAACAGTGAAAAAGAAAACGAAGATGGTAATGACGATAATGAAAACGTGATGATGAAAATAATACTTTAGTTGACCAAGACAAAGAAGAAAGAATGGAATAATATGAAATTAAATAATGAAAATATTTTATATATTTAGAAGATAAAGATGAAACGACAGATGCACATTTGTTTGTCATACGAAAACATATTGAATTTTCATAATATAGACCAAACTATAATTCGATAAATATGCAACATTAGAGAATTATGGTTATGCGAATCTGATACTTTCAAGATTTTAACTTGGATTATAATCGAGCGATTACAAATAGGTTTCCATTCATAAAATTCATAAAATTAGTGAATATATTTGTCAAAAATTTAATTCTCATCGTATAGATCTCGAAATAAGTTAAAAGTCATATTGTTTACTCAGATAACGATTATTGATTATATAAAAAGAGTAATACTTTAACTCTTACTTGACTACTGAAATGATTAAGAAAAACTATAGCTATAGAAGTAATTGAGGCACTTAGTTTGTTATCAGTGGTATCACTCCATTTAATATTAATTAGGATCTCTATTCTAAGTATACAAATTTATTATGTTCAGAGAAATACAATATTCAAATGGGCCAGTGATATAATAGGTACTATATAAATGGGAACATTAAATGAAATACTTTTTAATGTAAAGTCTCTTTTGATACAGGAAATGTCCAGGATTATAGAATCATCTACTTTTGGAAAAATTGACAAAGGAGATAACTTCTGTGACAAAGAAATAAATGCGTAAGGAAGAAAATACGAAATTCTATAGTAAAAGACAACAAAACTGCAACAAGAAAAGATATATAAGCTGCAGGTAATGTATCGTAATTAGTTCTACTACAAAGTATGTCAACCATATATATGGTTCTTTTTATTTTTAATACGATTACCAACATTTATATTTCCATATATTTAATAAATTTATAATCGTAGTTTGTGGGAGAATTGAAATTAGCAATATAGGAAGAAACCTAAAATTATGCAACAAAGGAAGAAAGTAAACAAGAAGAAAAACGTGAGTAGTGAAATGTCTATAAGAAAGAGAATGTCAAAAGAAAAATCGACTTTGAAATTCTCTAATTATGCGTTTTATGTATATATGCATATATCATTTCTTTTAAATTTAATGATATAGCACTGTCGGTATTAAAAGCACTAATATCAGACTCATTAAAAGACTTTACAAAATTAATATACTTAAAACTATTAAATACAATTTTATATGATAATATTTCTGTTGTAGGCTTAGTAAACATATTCAGTTATATGCATCTGCACCTCTGCTGACACGCTTTTCCACATTACAATAAATTCATGGTACTGATGTGATATTGCCGCATCTTGATATATCTCACACTTTTCCTCTGTGTTTCCACTGTGCAATTGCTTCTTTTAAAGGAATAGTGTTTTATCGCTGAACAAGAAGAAGAAGGAAAGTCAGTTTTAATTCAGTAGTCAACAGTTTTAATTAGAGAATGTCTGAACTGAATCTTTCCAATCGGTTCATAACTCTGTAAATCTATTTATATACATATTTGTGTTATATTTAATCATTTTTTACTCCTTAAATTTTATTAATTGCTAACGATTGACCTATACTATTTCTTACAAATATGTAGGAAGAAAAATAAACTATGCGAATGTTTGAATTGTCAGAAAATAAGCGTAAATAATTTTTTATTTCAATCGTACAGTTAATTTCTTTTATTTTATAGTATTTCGTACTAATTACATTCGAATTGTATTTTTTTCTGTGTATATATATTTCGATGTAAGCCATTTCAAAAGTATCTCAATAATTATTAATATATTACTTTATTTTCTCGCACACATGTTGATTAAGTTCTTTGAAAAATTTCTAATTTTGTGTCTGAATATACAAAAAATAGAGGTTTTGTCATTTGTAAATAGTTATGTTAAATTTTACAAAATATATATAAATTATAAAATCAATCATAAATAATGAAATATATTAAAATTATAAATCATTCTGTATTATATTAAAAGTTATATTTTATGGTTGTTCGAATAAAATGTAAAGTTAGGTAGGAATTGAGAGTCACTGTTACGTTTCTCACAAGTGCTCAGATGGTTTACTATTCCTATATAATAAATTTCCAAGCTTAATAGTAACGAAGTTTCTTCGTGCGTCAATTCGGAGCCACTAGCGGAGTTCGTCAGTAACTCTCAACTTGCTTTGAGGAAAGTCCCTGGACCTTCGGCAGAGAGTGCCGTAACTTAGCTGTTATAAGCCTTTTTCTTCGCCGTCTTTCTCGATTATAGGATAGGAAGCCTTTGGCTGATCTTTTCGAGATTGGGCGAGAGTGTATTGGTCAAAGCAAAGTTTTCGATGTGTTCGAGACGCGAATTTTTATCCATCTTGTATGGATGAATCTTCGTATCTAACTGAACAGGGCTTTCAGCGAGGAAACTTCTTCTTTTGCAATTATTTCTTTCTCCTTTTCGTGTTTTTTTATTTTTATAAATGGATTCTTAAATGCATTAAATAAAAACTGTTTAATTAATTTAATAAATTAACTTAATGATTGTTAGCTCGATGTTGAACTAGAAAACATTTTGTAATACCTACCTGCAATAGAAATTATTTAAAATTTCTGAGGTAGAATATTTTATTAAAAATGACAGATAATTTGCACATATTTTAATTTGTATTTAAGTTAATTAATTAATTTAATTTTACTGTCAAATTTGATTTCATATAAAAATGAAACTTTATATTTCAATTAATTGATATAAATGTAATTTGTATAAAATCTTAATAATACTATATATTTTGACTCGAATTAGTTTTATAAAAATAAAATTTAACTTAATTTAATATTAATTAAATATCAAAAATAGCATACATAAATTAAAATTTTTTTAATTTCATCTTATTGTGGATTATCAGTTACTATACCGATTCCCCTAACAAAAAAGAAAAATCCAAATCTTTTAAATTTAATAATTTATCATTTAATCTCTTATTATAATAAAGTATATAATCAAATTTCAAAACAGTACAGGGAGAAGCCTACTTTCAGGGGCAATGTGTAATATTTGTACTGGATTTATATAGAAAAAAAATCTCAATATTATTTGTATTGATATTATTACAAGATAGGAATCATAACCTATATTTAAAAAACAATAAATATTTCGGATGCGAAGCAACAATTAAGATTTTGTGTCGATATAATAAAAAAACTCTATATATATATATATATATATATATATATATATATATATATATATTTTAAATATATAAAAGGGTTAAACTTTGAAATTCTTAGTATTTATTATATTCAAACTTACGTGATTATATTGAACTTGACGAATGGAATCTTCTTAAAAATCAGGAAATTGCTGAACATTCTATTAATTGTAAATAACACTCTAAGAAGTTACTAAAGAATTGTTAATGTTATCGATTGGCAATAATCATTTAACATTAATACCAAACGTTTGCAAAATTATCACATACGCAGTTGTAACATTTCAGTTTTACATATTAAAAAAGCTTAACAATTGATCGTCTGAAAAAATATATCATTTGTGTTTTCAAACGTAATTAACATAAATTTTAATCTAATCGTTTCATAGTATTGCAATTCATTCACAAAAAAAATATAAATTCATAACAAATAATATTGAATAACCGGAATAATAAAAATACATCTATTATATAATCACATTTATAAAAATAACAAGCTGCAATAATATATTTACATCAAGATTAGAAAATTAAAAAAGGAAAAAAAAAGTTGTATTGCCATTCGATTGAAAAAAATCTCTCTTTTGCAATGACTAAACTCAGTTTTCTTTCTTTTTGTAAATTTTTAATTGGAATGTTAGCAAACTCTAGAAAAATTCTGTTAAAATCTTTATTGAATCTTCTATGGAACATTTGATTTTTTTGAATTTTAATATCGTAGATATCTTATTTTAGTGATTTTAATAGTGACATTCTTACAGGTTAAGAATCCGTTTAAAATTTTTGTTGTGTATCTACCTAAGATTTATAATTTTAACTGCCCTCAATAAGTAATAATAAGCTTTACAAAAATGTTTACTTCTTCAAAGTATATAGAAATAGACATAAATTTTTCTAAAAGTAACAAATTGTTTAATAAATAACGAAATATCAAGTTAAAACAAAACAAATGTCCGAAATGTTCGAAAAAAGAATTCCTTCAGATTGTATTGTGAAAAATTATTACGAGGATGCCCTGGCATAAACTGCATTTTCGTTTTGATTCGTATGAAAAAAGATAGAAGTGTCTCTAAACGAATGGAAGAAATTGTCGAAAATTCGGTGAGTCCTTCATTTACAATCGATTATTATTTTCATCTTGTGATTAGATTTTCATTCAATTCTATGATTTTATGTCGTCACTGAATAGTATTTAATATTTAATACATTTAATAGATACTTTTAAGAAGAAGAAAATTGATAAAGAATAATTGCTAAAGTACCTAAAGTAACTCAGATTTTTGAAGATTGTATATGTGTTCAGCTAATCGTTTCGCTTGACAAATGCCGATCACGATTGTATGGAAATATAAGAGTAAAAAACAATCGTGAAATCAAAACTCGGTGATAGACTTAATGCGATGTAATATCATCGAGCAATTTCTCATCCATAGATTCCATCAAATCGATGAATTTGTAGACATTCATCGGTGGATCATAAAATTTCTCCTCGTTCTGATTTTGAAGACAATTAGCATAAGCCGTTGATACATGGATGAAACTCTATAATATAAAAGATAACAAACATTTATTAGAATCAGATCATTCAATTAAAGATCCACATAATTGATAATATGTGCAGGGTGTCTCAATAACCATGTTACGAAACGATATCCTTGCTAATTTTAATGATTCGAAGAAATAACGGAGAGCCTAATTTTTTGGTTCAAAGTAGCATACATTAATCAATTGTTTTTCAGAATGATTTTTTCAAGTTTTTCATGTCACAGAAAATTTGTTTAATAGGAATACATATTTTTATATATATTCGAAATGTGATAGATAAGATCAGGATGAATCGAACGATCTATAATACTGTGAGCTAAACGCAATTTTGAGTAAAAAGAAAATAATAAAAATGAATCAATTGATGTAAGTAATAAAATAACTATGATGGAAATATTAATCAGGAAAGATTTGCTTGAACAAGTACTCGAAATGATATCCTTCAAAAATAAATTTCTCTTAACATTTATTGATTGAAATAGTGACCATGTCCGTCATGTTAAATTACATTTGATATTAACCAGGCGTGCAAGTGTCTTCTAACTGTCTAAATTTTATAATAATTTTTTTGCGCAACGACTCGACAAGGTCACAGTATTATAAATTGTTGATCACAATTTCTGCTCACAATTTTATTGCTTTAATAAATTATTTTTCTTAGCATTTTTTCTTTTTTTTTTTTAAATTACCTTTTGCCTGAATTAGCATATACTTATAAATAATTCTTATAGATTTATTAATTTCGTATGAAACGTTCAAATGCTATACTCCTCAACGCGAAGCATTTTTTTCCATTGCCTATTTACATGCCCATATATATGAGTATAACATTTGTGAATTCTTTGTCAAGCAAGCGGTTTTATTATTCGTATTTGAATTTTACAAACAATAAAATATAAAAGAGATTTGTTCAGTAATTTCATCGTGTTACTTCAATTTCCTCGCTTCGAAAAATTTCGGTGGCTTAAAGAAAAAACTGAGTCACACAATAATGCGTTTCATTGAACCAAACAATTGATTTCTTCCTCTTATCATAAATAGTAACCGAAATAGAGATTGATGATAGAGTTATTAGGACTCATACAAAGAATAGAATGCGTACCTTTAGTTTCGACATTTCCTTAGACAAGTATATCAAATCCTTCAGACTTTGAACGTTAATAGCTGCCGCCGATTTAATTTTCTCGTTGAATCGCACAGTAGCGGCAACGTGAAAAACAATAGAGACGTCTCGTATCAGTTTAGCTCTATCGGTTATCGAAATACCGAGATTCGGCAAACTACAGTCACCCTCGATCGCTACAATGCGATTTTGGAATTCTGGCTGCTGCTTCCTCAGCGTGTTAAATAACTGAAAAGTGTGCATTGATAGGTTTATACATATTTCCTGTCCCACATACGCATCTACGTATCATTAATAGAGGAATGACTCAAAAGTTGGACCCTATGTCGTATCTTCAACTCACTTTGTTAAATAAATGTTGAAAGCATTGGAATGTGTATATATTACTGCAGAATAAAGCCATGAATCTATTTAATCACGATTTTATTTTTAATATTATTAAGCATTGGTAAGTTACGAGTTGATTTCTATTTTTGTGATTTATGAATTTGTTTCATCTTATATTTTCTTCCCTAGTATTTGATTTCTAAATTTCTAAATTATTTCTTTTTCATTTCTAATTTATAGAAATAGACAGCAAATAACAATTTATATATAATTTCGACAGTGTCTTAAAGGTAATTGTAAACATCGACATGTTTCGATAAGAATTCTCTCTCCAGAGAATGAGGGTCGTAACTTAACGCATTAAAAATCGTTTGCCAAATTTTTTTATGCTGTCAAAGTAGTTTCTATTTATTTCTATTATTTTTAGATTATAAATAATGTGAGAAACATGAATAGAGAACAATGACGATACGATCGATGAAAAAAAAGAAAGTTGGATTCAAGAAATCTGCTAAAGAACCTAAAATAACTCTGATGCGTTTAACCAATGAAAAATGTTGAGAAAAAATATAGATTTATTTATTTGGCTTGTGAAAAGAAAACTAACAATCTTTTAAGATTTAGCCTTATCATACTTAATTGCTTAAATATTCTTATGTTTTCAAATGTGATTATGTTCTTTAACATAATCAAAGTCTGTTTTATTTATTAATATTAAATGCATTTTTATTAGACCGTTTTAACACTTCGAGTCCGCTTACGTAGTCTTATGTCTTGATTATGACCAAAAAGTGAAAAAGTAGTGTTACAACTTTTATTTTCAGATTTAGAAAAAAGAATCATAGCTGTAAAATTCAATATTTTATCGAATTCCATTTTATCGAAAGAACATTATTATTAAAATATTAAATTTTTATTGGTAAATTTTTTGTTCAATTTCGTTTAATTTGATTTAATTTCGTTATAAAACGTGCACAATTTCTAGTTATTATTTATACGATGTAAAGTTAGTAGCTGAAACAAATCTGTAAATATGTTATTTAGTTTTACCTTAGAAAATTCAGTATATTCGTTTGCTAAATATAAATTTCATCAATTTAAGTAAATCTTTCTAAGTTTAATATTTCCTGTAATATTTTATCCAATATTTAACTTCCCGTTTAAATTTTAAGCAAAAATTAATTGAAAGTATGATATCAAGAAATTACATTTCTTATATGAATACATATTTAAATAACAAATCATTGCGATATTGAGCTATAGATATTTGCAAATTAAACTTGGTATCCTGCTGTTCATATCGCTTTATACGCTTGATCGTGAATGTATTAATGTACGAGAAGTAGTCTGTTCGACTTTGGAAACCTTTTTCTAAACCATTCTTTTTGATTGTTTTTCATAAATTTGGAAATGCATTTCACTGTAATTTTTTACATGACTTGCATTAGAGTCATTATATAACTAAGTAGAGAATATTTTCCGTCTAAATATTAATTTTAACGTTAACATTAGAAAAGATACAGAAAACAAACAATTGAGGATTCTTCTTTCTATTATGCTTTACTGCTGCTACTTTTTAATATAGTTTATTAGAAGGAAGGAGACTTTTGAAAATTCTTTATCAATTTTGTTCTTCTTAAAAATATCTATTAAATGTATTAAATATTAAATACTATTCAGTGAAGACATAGAATCATAGAATTGAATGAAAATCTAATCACAAGATGAAAATAATAATCGATTGTAAATGAAGGACTCACCGAATTTTCGACATTTTCTTCCATACGTTTAAAGACACTTTTATCTTTGTTCCTATGTATCAAAACGTAAATGCAGTTGATGCCAGGGCATCCTCGTAATAATTTTTCAGTTAACATTTTTCCCATAAAACCTGTACCACCGGTTATAAAATGACATTGATTTACGTAGAAGGTTTGAAACGTCGTTAATTTGTCGATGTTTTCAACTGAAGATAGCGCTTCATTTGGCGAATATTCGTTCGATGTTCCAAATTTCAAATTCTTTTTCACTACAGCAGATTCTTAGTCATCCTCTTTTATTTCCACTTCCATCATTTCTGTTCCTTTAAATCGATCTGTAAACAAAAATATTAACACATATTCTTCAATCGTTCTTCTTCTATTCTTTAGCTCGTGTTCTTCCACATATCTCTTATTAGTAGGCTGATAATTCTATTTAAAAAAAATATTATAATCGTACTTTCGAATATTATTCAAGCATTCTCTAGTCCCATATGATTAACTGATTTCTGTTCATATAATCAAGCTATTACATTATCTTAATTAATACCGATTGAATGAAAAGGGATCATGGCTGTTCTTACATGTATGCTTCTATAATATTCTAAGCCACTAAATCATATATAATATTTTAAACTTATAATGGTGTAATTAGAAAATCGTTTATCTGTGATCAGTTGAAAATAATTCGTTACCTCCATATGTGTGTCTACTTATATACATGCGTATTTATATATGATCGTACCGTTATTCAAGTGCGCCAGAATGTAAAATAATTTGCAAACTAGAAAGTATTAAATAAAATCTCGCAATATATCTTTGAGGTGTTCACCTTAATCGTTTGTCTTAATATGTTTTCTTTTCTAACAATGAATAAATAAAAGATATGATTTCCAGTGGTCAGAATTCACCTTGAATTTATTCCATAGATAAATCGACACGTATGGTTTCACCAGATCAAGCAAATAATAGATGGGAAATTTGATTTGTATCGCCACTAGAAATTCATTCATAATTAATACATATTTTATTTTGCGTTTACGTATAACAACAAAATGAATATGTAAGAATTATATATTTAAATACATTTATACATAAGAAGATTAAGGCAGGAATACAGTTAACCCTCAATGTGTTCTAAGATGATCGCTTAATCATTTTATGTTAATTACACATACTAATGGGGTTTATATCTGTGTACACAGCCACCGACAATATACTTGTTAGCGAACATTTTAATAATTTTCAATCTTGGATATTCGGCCCAAGTGCAGACTTACTAATATCGTGCAATGTAGAAATAATGGAAAAGTGATTTATTTTTCATTTATATTTCATTTTATTTATAATTGATGTTATTTCAAATTCTATTCCATACTTGGGATTTATATTGTATCTTATAGTACCAGTAACATTTAATTAGTAATTATTTTAAGCCTTATTATTATATAGTAAGATTTCATATTTATTATATTTATTAATAAGAAGAAGGCTTATAATTATAGTAAAAATTATTTGATCAGAAACAATTTGATTTTCATGTGACAATCGTATTGTTTGACTTCTACATTGTTAAATTTTCTATCGATGTAAAATTAAAATTATGATATTTTTAATGAACATATGAATTTTACTTACTTTCAGAAGTATTTACCATTATGCAGAGCAAGAGTGGATTATGTAATCTACGAAGTTATCAATATCAGTCATCTACCAACGTTACTCGAATGAAACTTACCGTTCCACTGAATTTTATTACAGGAAATAGTTATCTTTTATATCCACCGTTTAACTTATCTAAACTTGACACAATAACCTATAGATTTAAATTTATAATTTGATTTCAATGGGTTAAGCTACGTTCATAAGATTTCAACAATTGTGCTTGCCGTACATCTTAAAAAGTGCAAAGTTATTCGATTAAACAGATAAATAATTTAAAATTTCTTTGATCTGCATTTTAATACCTATTCTTTTACGTACAATTTATTTTACAAATAATTTTAAATTTAATAAATGTAGTTTTGAAAATTATATCTCTTTTTAAAATAGGGATCAGCGCAACGGAAGTCATTTAAAAGTCATTTTACGAGTCGTATTTAACATAATGTATATTCCATTACGTATTATTCATTCATATTTATATAACGATCATACACATATATATATATATATATATATATATATATATGTACCGAGTTATACCATAAAAATGGGACGAACTTTACAAAATGGTAATACATGCTAAGATAATTTTTCGTTCATAGCTGACGAAATCACGAATTAAACATAAAGGTTATAGGTCTTAAGGAAACTTTTGCTATGTATTATTTAGTTAATTAAAATTTATATTTACTCGGTTGAAGAAGAAGAATACGTATGCACATTTAATCTAAGGAAGTGACTTTATACTTTTACGTAAATTCTTTTAATCCGAAATGTACGGCCTTTTTAGTTACGATCATAGATTACATCACAAACGCTCCCAGATCAAACGATTTTCTTATTATTTATAATTTTACAATATTATAGAGGCATAAATGTAAGAACTGTCATGATTACTTTTTATCCAATGGGAGTTAATAACGATTTTGTGGCCGCTCGATTATATGTAGAAAAATAACGTCATAACATTGTAAAATGCGTAAATAATATTCGATTATAATATTCTTTTTCAAAATTGTTTTTTCTAATAGAATCATTAATCAATCATCAATCACACTAATGTGAGGTGCATGAAAAAATTCGTTCTAAAAAATAGAAAAAAAACAATCAAAATGAATCAATCAAATTAATGAGATAAGAATTTTTTAATATCTTCAGGTTTATGTTCATCTATACGTTTGCAGATCAATTTGGAAGAGCAGAAATGATGGGACTGATGATAAATGCGAACGAACAGGAAAAGTCTGTTGCAACAAGTTGGTTGAAATTGAACACTTTGACCGAAATTACGCCAACTAATTTGGTGTTAAAAATTATGGTTTAATAGAATTCTTTCAAAGTCATATTTCTCATGTAGTAACACAATTATGAGCGTCGTTACGAGCGGTCGGGAGACTGAAATCAATACCTCATATAATTTTCAAAAGTCTATAGTTAAATACTGCAAAATGCAACTATTTAAGTTCGTATGAATATAAAAAAAATATACTTCTTGATAGCATACTTATAATTATTTTTTTTTAAAGAGCTGACACGATCAAAAGAAAATTTTTTTATGCCCGTTAAAGGAGGGAATTAATGTATGAAAATAAACTGAAAGACGTTGAAGTGGATTTTTAACAAACATATAGATCACAAGCGTATAGAGTCGATCTGAATAAGTTATATAATTTTTCGTGAACAAGGTAGAAAATACTTTTTCTACTTCATATTGATATCTAATATATTACATACTGATATATATATATATATATATATATATATATATCTAATAGTCAGACTTTTAGAGAAAAATATACGAAGAAGCATAGTAAAAAACAAACATATCGAATAAAAACTAAAACTCCTCTAGGAATTGAGGTTAATCAAACATAATGGAGAAAATATATGCATTAGCAAAAATAGATTGAAAAATTGTTAGAATAATGTATCGCTACATCTGTATACCAAACAAGAATTTTATAAAAAATAGCTAATTTTTCATACACTTCTTTTCCTTACAAAATTGCCTATCTCTTGGTCTCGATCGAGTCACCCGTTCAACAGGGTTGTTAGACATCCAAATATGGCCTGCACACAAATGTCGATATGTCAGGAAACTTTAGTCCGAAAGAGCAATTATGAAATAAACGTACTCCAATAACAATGGCTCTAGAACGCCGCGGTGAAAAAATACAAGTTACTGCCGCATGATGTCACCCGAATCAATTATCGTTTTGATTCTTCTAAAAATATACGTGATTTATAAATTCTTGTTATAACAAAGCCAATATAAATTTATGATTAACACCGTTGGTATCACACAATATAATTGAAATTAGATAAATTAAATGCGATTTTAAAATATTGTTTCAAAATGAAGAATAGGCAGAAACGTCATAACTGGAAAGATGAACATCAGGTATTATTATAAATGAATGCTGTTTTTCACAATATTATATGTTATTCAGAGCTATTATCTATTGTTACAATTTAAATAATTTTTTGAAAGAGTAACAGAGATAGATATTAATATTTTTCTTTCGGTATCTTACAAAAGTGAAGCGAACGAGGAGGATATGGAAATGTATTTTCTTGAAACTATTCAAAAATGAAATCCCTTGAATCTAATCAATCTATAGTTATTGTAATTCGTAAATATGACTGAGAGAAATCGTTACACTTTCTCAATTGCTATCATTCCTGAAATATGTAAAGAAGCAAGATGTTTTTTCTGCGATCTATTCTAGAGCTTGAGACAAGTAAGATACATGTATTTAAATGATATTTACATAACTACATTATGGCATAGATACATGATAATAGGTTTAAAAAATCATTTTTTACATATATTTTTCTCAGTTACTATATTTATTCTCAATGAAATATATGGAAAAATTATGATATGCGTCCATGGCTTTTGTCAATTAATTCAAATTTCTGTATCGATATTAATTCCAAAATATTAAAATATCTTATGGAATAGCCATTTGCCGTCTTACCTGAGACATAACAGTTAACAATTTTGCTATAAAAAGTTTTCCCTTCATTATTTTCGAAATTAAATGTAAGATGGTAAACTTTTTGTTAAGATATTGTAAGGTAGTCAAGATGTGATTGCCGGTTTTTTAGAAGATTAAATTCTATAGATCTAATACGGTATAAATTTCATTTCTTCTTAAGTTCCTCTAATCTTATTTTAACAGATTTAAAGATGAACTGGTTGAAATTAAAATGAAATATTCAATTTCAATTACAAATTATCCAGATATAATAGGAAATATTTGTAAATGAAAATAAGGTAATAATATCTAAAAATTATGAAAAAGAAGAAGATGATTGTAATCATAATTAATATGAAAATATATTTATTATCATGATTTTTAAGAAAGATACATTCTTATACAACTTTGAAATTCAATTCGCATTAAGTACTATACCCTCATTTGAAGGAGAATTCGCTTATATCTACAGAGTACAGATTGCAGTCTATTTTCAGGCGCAATGATTAACACTCATATAAAGAATTATGTAGAGAAGATCTTAATATTATTTACACAATAATAATTAGACTATATTGATATTAATTTCAAACAAAAAAAAAAACTTCCCAAAGTTGTATTGTCACTCTCCTTAACGTCAGTTGTTTATTTTATCCATATTCGAACGTTAAAAGTGTCTGAATATCATGACCCAAGTTATCATAGGAAATACACAGACAATAAAAAGTTTTAATGCTTGATGTATCCAGTAAAGTCTTAAAAATTAAAAAGACAAGTATTATTTGAAGGTCATTGTGAATAATAGACGATCGATGAGAAAGAAGATACCTTCGCCATTTTATACGAGCTTGTGGAAGCGTTTCAATGGGATCCTTTAAGATGTACATTCTTATGCCTAGAACGTAACTTTCAAAGTATGTGTCCCAAATGAGATTCTTTATATCACAAGAGAAAAATTTGCGATCTTCCGTCGTTAACTTACTTAACAGTTCGTTCCATCTTTTATTAGTAAAGTTCAATTTGGTAGAAGTAAAATAATTCACTATATTCGACATTGTATCAATTTTTTTATATATTTTGAATAACCTTAAACGCAAGCGTAAATTTTTAAAAAATTGTATGACTGTTGAAAAGATAGGTGCCATATATAAAAATAATTAAAGTTACATATAAAGATAAGAAAAATATATGAATATAGGAAACTCAAAGAGTAAATAAGTGTTATAGAAAAAATACAAGTCTGATAGATGTTAAAGAAATTGATAAAGAAAGATCGGCTACTAAAAGAAAGGAGATAGGAGATCCAATTTTGTTATCAGAATTTTACGGACTATTAAGGAACATGACAGTAATTAGGAAAAAGATACCTCGAATTTCTAATGACTTTTTGGAAAGGGGGAAATTTAATTATGACAAATGGTCTTTCATTCAGTCCGTAAGATGCATGATACCGGCGAATTATCATATGAATAATGTGATTATCATTATGTACTTAAGAAAAGAAGGTGCTGACAAGGGTGTAAATAACCGCATAGTTAGCCTAGAAATTCAATCATGTACCATTTTGATACGAATTAATTATAGATTAATGGGAAGATAAGTTTAAACTAAATTGTTTGATGATCAGTTTGTTCTTCGAAAAATTGTCGAAACATGCGAATCATTGCTAACCCTAGACGAGAACTTAGAAAGCTCAACAAGACCAAACACACGTTTTACGGAATTTTTAAACTTGAAATAGGTTGATTGAATCGAGTTTTTTGAGAATCTGAGAATGACATCAACCATAGGATGCATCGAATACGACTAAAAAATAAGAAAAAAATTACCTTGGCTTTTTACCTATACATAACGAAATCGTATCGATTATAATAGCCGGTAGTATATGTAGAATACATGTAGATAAGATAAATTGGTCGATATTTTGTATTCCAAAAGCTTATGTACCAAATTGCTTCGTTAGTCGGTAATAATTCAAGTTTCTTCCTCGACATTTTTCTTAATTCCTTATAAGTGATTGGATTATCCGTAGATGTGTAATTATAAATAGGAATTTCTTCGATGGATCTGAAAGATTACAGTAAGCGGTAATTTAATTTTTTCTAATCGTCATTTGATTCGATCGAAAATATTTCGAATAAACGTGAT